GATGTTCCCATAGCCATACTCGGTATCGATCCATTACAGCACTATGAATTGCTATTCGATTCACGTAGGCTGCGTTAATCGATACTTCGTCGAATATCAAATCCATGGTTCTTAACACGCAAACAGATATGTACCGAATCATTAATATGTATATTTTTTGCATTACTATTTATTTCATGTTATATTCGATAAATTCCCCAAAGTAACGAAACCGAGGAGATTTGACTGGTGATTATTTATGTGGTAAGCCACATCGTCACCTGCAGACCCCCAGTCACGGCAAAACCTCGCCGACTGGCACTGGACAACTTAGTTTTCGCTAAGCGTGAGTTTGACAGTTTACTTGCTATATGTATTACTTCGTCTTTCTCACAGTCCTTAGGACTCCTCTCCACTCGTTTCGCAGAAAGATGGCATTTGTTGGAGACGACATGACGATTACGGAGCAGCAACGGCAGATATCCAATGTTCCGCCTTCGAACTCATATACGGCACGACATTGCATCTGCCTGGGGAATTTCTTCACACCACGGAGCAGCGATTTTATGTATACCAGATTGCGTCCAACGACTATCTGCGTAGATGCGAATACTGCCTCCGGTGTGAACTCGAATATTACATCGACAGGTCGCTCTCCCTCGAGAGTTATTTACCTGTCCGCAAGTTCTTTTACTAGTAGATTCGGTACTCAACAACCTTACGAAGGATCTTTTCACGTGATCTATCGTCACGAAAAGACCTTCAAGGTTGATGGACACAGTCAGCATTGATCGTCTCATACCAGCGCACGTCAATGACAGTGCCCTACCTGGTAAATCGAGATTTAATGCTAGACTCGTCCACCTGACTAGCGGGATCCTTATTTTTCCCTCTGATCCCACGCTAGCGAAATCGAAGACCTCATTCTCACGTCCCAGTGAGCAGCACGCGCCATCTGCACTATCTACGGATGAGACTCCGGTCTCACGTCCAGATCAGCAGACCACGGCGCACTTGACTGCGGATGAGAATGCAGGCTCACAAGGTACGCACGAGGCTACTGTCTCGCGTTCCGGTCGCCGCGTACGCCTACCTGTACGCTTTCTCGAATAACTACCAATCAACCACGGGTTGGGCATAGGATTTTACACTCGTAGTACATGCATGCTACACTTTTCTCCCTTTTCTTCTTTTTTTATCCCGAGCCTATACCTTTGATTATTGCCCTGTTGGTACCGTCGACTTCAGTCAACCTTGGCGAAAGCTGGCCTGATCACCCACGCTCTTGTCAATGCACTCAGTCGATTTTCTGGTGACGAATATATCTGGTATACGAATGGTTTCGAAATGGTCGTTTCTGGCTTCGCTCAATCTGTTTCCGTCCTACGTCTGCAGCTTTATCTGGTCCGAACGCCTACGAAAGCAATCTTCAGACTCTGGATACGAGCCACGCTGGTGTGGCATGCCAACCCGATAGACAAACTTGGCACATCAACTCGAGCAGCAAACCTGGCACGTTACTACTGGTACAGTTCAACGTAGAAGACTATCGGTGACAACTCGAGCTTCATTGGTGGCTTCCTGTTCGTCAACCCTTCCGCGCTAAAACCAAATGTTGGCCGACCAGCCCCCCGTCAAACGTAGCCGCTATGTATCGAAAGTGTAAACCCTTTCTAGGCGGGGGCTGCTGTAGTGGAACGCTTCTACGAAGAAAATGCGATTTTTGAAATGTAAACATTATTGTACTCGCTTTGTTTAACTTAACCAAAAACACTTCTACTACTTCTTGCGCGCAACGTTTCTCTTCGCGTTGCCGCCATGTTTCTCCATTTGCTGCTCCCTTTGTCATGCCAACGTTCTCCTTTAATAAACCACTGAACTATGGATTTATTTTGTTCTCATTTTCATCACGCAACCGTATGGAACATTTAGTAGTGGGCATAGTCAAGCTGGTTTCCGGACTCGCTCACTAAAAGGTCAGAGAAATCACAACTTTTCACTTTATGCCAAGAGAACTTGATGCTCCAAGAATTGACTCGAGAAACATGTAATCATATACTCATTATCTTCTCACACTGAGACCAGCTATGCATTAGTGATTTCTGAAATCTTGCTTGTTGATGTCAATATCCTTCTCTCAGATCACTAACACTTTTCCTCTCGCTTATTATCACACGCGTTTCTTCTCTCATCCTTTCACTTCTGTCCACACAGACAATCATCACTACCAATAAGTAAACATTTATTTCCTTAGTTCTGAACCCCACTTCTCATTAGCGAGAGAATTTTTTCTTCATTATCCTCCCAAGTGAAATCATTTGATCTTCAGCCCCGTAGAGTGATAAATTCTGGTGTCTGTTAGCTGTCAATGTGGGCCTTAATCACCTGCCACCATTTACAAGAAAAAAATCCATCTTAGGACACCAGATTGGGATACTTAATCATTCCCAAATATATAAAAGTTGCCTCCATTCCTTGGTTGACAATCCTAGTACTAATTCGGACAAACGAAATCATTCCAAGTTAGAACCGCTTAGCTCTAGATTTAGCTGTCTCGATAGACTGCTCACTTCCCAGCTGCTTCGGCAGCATACACAAATTCATTTACTCGCAAATACAGGACTTAAGAATTCACTAACCAGAACATTGCAGACGGTAAACCCTTAGAGTTTGCAGGACATGCCGAAGATATCCTCCCAACATCCCAGAGACCCTCGGTTAGGTTGTCGTCCTCCGATCCGAATCAGCTACGACAGACCGTGGTTAGTAGGAGCAGCATCCAGGATGTCACAAGGCACCCAAGCGCAGACCACTGTGGTAAATCAACTGGCTAGTGGTAGCTTGGATATAGCTCACACATGATGTGCAACAGGGGCGATGGTTATCACGTAGCCTGACCTTTACACCACCATGGCCATGTGCATTTCCTGGCTGTCTCACCCGTCACACTGCATGTCCACTAGGTCAGCACGTCTGTGGACTTCAGAAGTCGAGAAGACCTAACCGAGGCGCTTCAGGCTTGGCGCAGCTCGAAGAACGATCTCTCTAGCCATATTACATGTTGCGAAAACCGAAATAGGTCTGTGAAACGAAAACAGGAGTGCAACAGAATCATCATGGTGTTTTTTCCTCACAAATGGCACGAAATGCTTAATTGGAGGAATTTACCGGCCCGCTCAGGTACTAAGGCCCACCAAGAAGAACTTACTGTAGGAATACTGCAACCGCCACTCCTTGGGCTCGATCAAATACTGCAGGTTTCATCACCACATCTCTGTGTCTCACCAAACAACATCCATTGGTTAGTTTCAAGGACGACTTGGCACAGCCATTAGATGCTCTGGGATGACTGAGCACGTATGAAATGCTACCAGGTGAACCAAGGAGGGAAAATTCGGAAACTGGGATTAGTTGTTAAGAGATGGTCAGCTCCTGGTCGAGGATTTTCAAGTCCATATAACATTAGGAAGTAGTGAACATGACACACTCTTGTTTAACATTGTCTCGAATGAAGCAATCAAGCAGGACGAAAACGAGCCCCACATTTGCTATACTAGGGCGCATCACACGCGCATGAGAGAGAGTCTTTTACATGTCCCGTGGCTACAGGAATGGCGGAGGTCGATAGTAGATGTTCACTGGCAAACCGTGAGAGACATCACCCAGATGTTCCCCAGGCACACGACACATGCGGAAACAGAAGAAGATCGGTTAGGTAAGGCATTAAACGCCAGCTACAGGCGACGAATAGAGCCTGGCACAATTTGAAGGTCTCTTTCAAGGATTCCAACCGTAGTTCCTACTTGAAATTGAGAAATGAATGCAATATCAAAGTTCGAAGTGATAGGAGACGCTTTCAGATGCAGCTAGCTGTCCAAATACAGGCAAACCCTAAGCATCTATTTAGTTTCATGATAAAAAACCTAGGAACAACTGAAAAATGACTAGAATTAGGCAGTCAAGTGGCTAGACCCTCTTCCAATGAACACTACAAAATGCCTGGAACCGTTCCTAAGGAACAAGAATCGAGCGCAAGGAAATCGATTGGTTTATACTGGCTCGTGAAATATATATTGGATGAGAAAAACGCATTCACTGAGATTATGAAAGCACAAGAATTAGTTCAGTATAGTGACTGGACTATCATCCAGTCGGCAACGAAAAATAATTGTAACCATACAGGAGGAACAAGAAGCGAGCGCAATGCAAAATTAATGGGTTTATAGTAGCTTGCTAAAAAACATTGGATATTGGAAATATTTTGAAGGTCATGCTAATACTATGACAACCGGACATATTTCAATTTCAACACTTGTAACGCATTCGAAACCTAACTCTATCAATTCCTAGTTTCGTTTATCAGTTTGTCTTAATCTTACGCTGGCTTTATATCTGGTTGCTGTCTACTTATTCGTATATTGCATGTAAGTGCATTCTATGTGCTTACTGAGTCGTCGGCTCATCTTTTTCTCTTGTTCTTTCTTCTTCCAGATAATCTCATACCTTGCTCCTCTTATCCCCCCCTAACACACAAGGCACCTTCGGGATAAACGCAAACCAACCAAAGGCTGAAGTTACATTTGATGATGGAGGCGGGATTGTGTTAGCTCACATTCAGGCACATCACACTGCAACCATCCCACTCCATGTAACCCAGCATAGCGGCTATTCCATATCATGTAACTCAGCCTCCGAGAAACATAGGTACCGCAAGCACTGAGGACAGAGATTTTCTATCAGGGGTAGCCATGTAACGCATTCGAAACTTAACTCTATCAACTCCTAGTTTCGTTTATCAGTTTGTCTTAATCTTACGCTGGCTTTATATCTGGTTGCTGTCTACTTATTCGTATATTGCATGTAAGTGCATTCTATGTGCTTACTGAGTCGTCGGCTCATCTTTTTATCTTGTTCTTTCTTCTTCCAGATAATCTCATACCTTGCTCCTCTTATCCCCCCCTAACACACAAGGTACCTTCGGGATAAACGCAAACCAACCAAAGGCTGAAGTTACACACTGAATGGTCGGAGTAGCTGAAGCAGCACAGAGTTAGTTCACTTTTTCCTAATTTAACTGCAACATACAGGAAAAAGGCTTGGTCTTTTCGCAACGTGAATTTAACATATGCTTAAACATATACTGTAATCACCATTTTCGGAAATTCATAGCACTTTTTAGCCCTATAACCTTACGAACATATGATTCGAGCTAACGTTTGAACAAAGAATATGTTCTTATAGTCTTGTCAGATATTCATTGATTTACAAGTGTGTTGAGTTTTATCAGCCTCAGAATAACAAAATATATAGGATTTATCCTTACTAGGAATAGAGGATGTAAGCAATAAACGTTAGACTGTGACTTGTTAAGCATTCAAACGGATGACATTTTGACGTCATTTGAAGTCGACTTGTAATTAAAATATGGTATAAAACTGTTTTCTGCATAATCTACAAGGAAGATGCCCTACTTGACTCCTGAATACTAATATAGACTAGCGAGGATAGTTCCTGTAGTAAATAAACATTAACTTTCAGATACCAGTAGATATATATGTCTCGAAACTACTTATCAAGATTAGCAGTTATTTTATAGTTTGTTAAGTTAAGATAATCGTGTAATAGATCAGAATTTGACTCGTGGGTATTTTGTAACATTTTGAATGTGAATTCACCCAAATATCATGCCTATACTCGTTCTGTGATACTTCCTGCATTTTCTTGGTCTTGTATTTTGACCTTCTCTAACTTAAACTTGGGCTTGTCGTTGTCACTCTTCACTGATGTGAATGTAAGCATGTCACGTTATTTTAGTACTTGTGCCGGTTTTGAAATGCGGAGAGTATAGTGAAATTCTTATCAAACGTGATACGATCCACCTTTTAAATAACATTTTACCTACTCATTGTAAATATAACTTCTAATTTGTGGGAAATGAACTGGAATCTTTAGGTTAAGTTGTGTTAAACGTTGGTTCAATAGTCTTAAAAATCATCAGAACGATTTCATCTCTTGCTCTTTGTATTATTTTAATCTAGTTTTCCCTTATGTTTTGAGGGCATCCATATTTTAGTTAATCAGTAGTAACACAGAACTTCGTACGTACGTATATCACTTTATGTTGCCATACCACATTAGCACAGGGATGCAACTGTCAATTCAACTCCGATAGTAGTAGAGGTAGTAAAAGTATTAGCAGTAGTCCGAGAGGTTAGGATCAGAAGATATTATTCAAGAAGTAGAATATAGTGAAGTAGACTTAAAAAGATAAGGATAAAGTTATGAAGAATTAAAACGTTTAGGATTTGAGAGAACGTAAAGAATGAATGCACCTGCGCCATTGCAAACGATTTTTAGCCATGTCATTCTAGGTCTCTGACCATCGATTATTATCATCTCGTGGACCCCAACCAAGTAGTCAACAACTACCAACATGACTCAGTCAACTTGTCAATCACTTCATGGATCTCTGTCATGTTTTCGTCTGGCCGCCTCTAGCTTTCGTCCAACCTATTCCTACACCGCAAAATATAGCTGGACGAGTCAGTTGACGGTTAGGCATACGCAACACGTCCCAACCACCTCAACTGATGAAGTTTCAATATTCCATCTATTGATCTGCCATCTTTACCTAGCACCCGTTTCCTAACAACAGCGTCGCTCACCCGATTGTTCCAGGATATACGAGCAATGGTTCGAAGACACCTATGATCAAAAACTAGTAACCTACGAATATCTTCTACTCTCACTGGCCATGTTTCGCAGCCATAAAGTAGGACGGAGCGAACTACTGCACAGTACACCCGTCATTTAGTCAGCAAATGGGTATCTCGCCTGTGCCATAAGTGATGTAGGTTGGCAAAAGCCAATCGAGCCTTCTGTATCCGTGCTGAGATTTCGTCAGTCACCAAACCACTGATGAAACTCCCAAGATAAGTGAAGCGGTCTACACGCTCGACCACTTCACTCCCTATCATTAGATCAGGTACCGATGAACCCCAATCTTGAAGCAATATTTTGTATTTCGAGGGTGAGAACCGCATCCCGAACATGCTTGCATTGTTGCTCAGGATAGTCAGAAGACTCTGCATTTTGTCAGCGTCTTCACCAAATAGAACTATGTCATCGGTATATTCTAAGTCAATAAGCGATCCTCCTGGTAGAAGGTCTACTCCTGAAAATTCAGACGAGGATAAGGTTATTTGTAAAAGCAAGTCTATGACAAAATTAAACAAGAATGGGGAAAATGGACATCCTTGACGGACACCATTTGAAGTAAAGAATTCCGATGACAGTTCGCCATATGCTGGTGGTGTTCGAGTAGAGAGCTTGTATAAGGTTAATATATTTCTTTGGTACACCTTTCAGTGACAAACACTGCGACAGAACCTCACGGTCCACAGAGTCGAATGCCGCCTTAAGGTCTAGGAAGACAACTATTGTCGGACGCCCAAATGTGTGTCTGTGTTCCGGGACGTGTCGTAGTGTGAAGGTGTGGTCTGTACAGCCACATCCAGGTCGAAAACCAACCTGATTTTCTTGGGTCTGCTCTTCACGAGCTCTAGTTGGGCGTCTAATGATGACTGAGGTTAACGATTTAGAAACTATATTGGTTAGACGTACTCCCCTGTGATTGTCACAAGAAGACTTTTGTCCTTTCTCATAAATTGGGACAATCACGGATAGAGACCAGTCAGATGGGATTACGTCCAGTTTCCAGATTCTACCAAAGATCCATTTCTACTGAGGAAATAAGTCTTCTCAACCTTTCCTGTGATGAATTTCGTAGAGTTTCATCACTTCTGAATAGCTTCTCTATACAACCGTTTTTTGAGCTGCTAGGTTATTACTACTTCTGTTTAATAGTCGGTCTGTTTGGTTTGATTTCCTGAATTTATGCCTCCAAACTTTATATATTCATTCAGTTAAATAACAGATCTAGGAATGTAACTTTGTTTGATTTTTCGCTTCCTGTTTACTAAACCTCTTCCAATATGTTCTTAATCAACTTTTGCTTTTCTGTAGACTGTTCTGTTCCGAAGATCATAAGTGTTTCATCTGCATTATCTATCCAGGTTTTCAGTTTGATTGTTGGTTTATTCATAGCAGCAAGTCCTGAATAACATCGTTGTGACCAGCCGTGGTATCTGTGAAATCATTTTTATTCCTTATGTTTGTTTTGAAATCTGTCCACTGAATCGAAAAAGTATTATACCTCAAAAATACTGAGTTCTTTTGAACTCTCCTTGACAATTTTACACATTATAAGAGCTTTTTGATGCTGCTTATTAGTAACGATATTTGGTAGAAGTTAATGGAGCTGTAACAATAAAAGTAACCACTATTTTACTGTTAGATTATTTCAGGGATTTGATTTTAGAATTGTAATCGAGAGTTCATAGAGTGATTGATCACTTAGTCGCATCGCACGGTCTTCTGACATTTAGGCTATTTTATTTCAAAGCTCATAATCACCAATTCTCTACACTTCATTATCATCATAAACGTTAGCAAAAATTTCATCTTGCACCCTTAAAGATGAGGATATAGACTGGCTCTTTTTGATTAGTTGACTACTGATGAGAAGCCTTTTATTGTTATAACAGTTTGGTTAACGTGTGTTCTTGGTGAGAACTTGTTGAACTCCTGAATTACGGCATCTAAATTGAATGCTTTAAGTGTATCATCATTGTCAGAGATAGAAAGTAATTATATGATCAATCTGGTGGGTTCGTTATGTTTATTTGATACAATAGAAGATTGAACAATCGAAGCTGTTTATGAGAATAACGTAGTCATTATTAGTTTTTCAAAACTTATAGGCCATACTTTACTCTGCGGTCAATATTTAGTAATGAGGTCATCAGTTTTAGTTAACTTATCAAGTTGAGGGGACTGTCGGGCGAATTTCGTTGTAGTCTATTTTTTACTCACAAACATCTAGTCCCTCGATCTTATTTCCAAAGATTTGTTCAGCTATCTATCAAAACTCTGCCACCTTGATAAGCAAAAGATATTTTCTACCAAACCACTAGCCCATGCAAAGTAGGCACAACTTCTAATACTCAGTAGTAAAACTACTGTCTTTCAGTATATTTTTAATGTTCTCAACCTATTCCAAGCACGATTTTAGCAGAACAATAACAGTTATTGTGTTGTATTTTTTCCTTTATCAAACGTAGGTAATGGTCTTGCACATCAGAATAATCTTGATGAAGAAAACTTAGGTGGTGATTCTAATGAACTGAAAAAACCAGACAATCTAAATCTAAATGATAAGCTTGAAACTTCAGTAAATGGTGATCTGCAAGAAAATGAGGGCACTGATCATTTGGATGACACAGTTAGTCCCATACAAGAGGATGACGTATCCAACCTGATAGATCTTGTAAAAAGTCGTATCTGTTTGACAAATTTTGATCCTGAGTCACATTGGCTTGATATACACGATGATATAGTTGTAAAAGAATTTGCTAGCGGTGAATACAACTTACTCATATGTTATATGTCAAACAAGAATGAGTTAAAATTAGAATTTGAAATGCCAAGATTTCTGTGCAATGAAATCAACTATTTTATTTTCACGCCATGTGTGAATGCGGAAAAAGTAACTGCTGACAATTTCGATTTACGTGTACAGTATGGTAGTGTTTCGGGTCCAGCTATTCAGAGCCTACTAGGTATCATGTCATCGGTCTTTGCACCAAGTCTATTGGCTAATACATCATGGCCAGATAGTATACGTAATGATTTCGCTCTAGAGTTACAGCGTTTTATGTCATCATTAACTGATGCAAGATGGAAATTAGAAAATAAAACTGTTTTATATATGCCAACAGAAAGTTTGAATCTAATGCCAGAAATAGCTGCTAAAGATAAAGATTTAGTGAATCGATTTGAAATGATTGTTATACATTGGATAAGACAAATTAAAACTGTATTGAATTCACAAGATATCAATGACGAATCAGATGAGATTGGTCCGTTGGATGAAATAGAATTTTGGCGTATTCGTTGTGAAGATTTAACAGGAATCAGTTTACAACTAGATAATACTACTGTTAAACATATTAAGGAGATATTATTAACTACAAAATCAACCTACATCATGAATTTTTTAAAATTAGCTAATGAAGTCAAATCAAATGCACAACAAGCACAGAATAATTTAAAATTTCTAGATACCATTAAAGAAACCTGTTATCAGTTAAATGAATCGAAACCAAATGAAATACCGAATAAATTACCACGTCTTATCAATATGATACGTATGATATGGACTAATTCAGAATATTATAACAATAAAGAACAAATAACCGGTTTATTTAGAAAATTATCAAATGAAATTATCAACAGATGCTGTTCTGTTATTTCATTAGATGATATTTTTAATGGAAAAGTTATAACTAGTTCATTAAATTTGCATCAATGTATTAGTTGTTGTGAACAGTACAAAGAAATCTATGATCGATTACAAATTATGCATGCACGTAATTCAACAAAACCATGGGATGCTCAGAAAAATAGTATATTTGCACAAGTTGATGCGTTTATACAACGATGTCGTGATCTATTGGATGTAAGATATCTAACTGTTTTATATATATAAGTATACTCATGAGTATATAGAAAACATCAGCATTTGATTCAGTGACTAATTAGCCATAAGTATACCTCATGGTTAACTGATGAAAGTACTTCAGAGAGAAATTCTCTTCACTTTTTAACATTTTAACCATAACGGTTGACAGTATTTGGTACGGTTTACACAAATTCATCTGAATAAAGGTCTGTAAAAAATATTGGACAGTATGTTGTGGTTCAAATGCTAATTGCCTTTCCATTAGTCCACAAAAACGTCAAGTTTTAAAACCTTTTATCAATTGTTATCTTGATAGTTTTAACATAATATACCACAAAAAATTTCTATTGATGAAATTATCTGAGTTTCGACTTTCAAATGAATTTCATTGAAACCATGAATTCTTCAGTGTTGGGACAACATCAGAAACTTGGTAGCACTGGATGGCCTTCTTGTCTTAGTATGGGACTCATCTGAGTTGTGAACCCACGACCGCACAAGCAGGAGTCGGGCCCAGGACCTACAGTCTCAACAATCTCCACGAGTTAGACGTTAGCACCGTTGTATACCGACTCAGTAGTCAAGAGGTAAAGAGTTCGTGTGCAACACAAAAGGTCTTCAGTTCGACTCCTGCCTACGAAGTCGAGGATGAGGTTATGTTTGATTTCACCAGTTATTTTAAGTATCGAAGTTATCTTAATCTTTCTGTTCAAATGATGGACTATAATGTTAATTTGAATCCTACGGCACCTGGGATAACCTTAAGTAGGTTTACTAAAAAGCTGCTTTTTATTTCATCAGATAAGCTATCCAAATTGAATATCTCTAGATTCGACCAAAAATAATTTCAGAGCTGAATAATGTTGAGTAAATTTCATACTTAATAGTGATTTTTCTCTCTAATATTATTCGTATTGATAATTGAATCTTCTAATTTAGATTTGTAATTGTATTTAATCCAGTTGTTTGGTATGATGGTAAGCTAGTAACCGATCAATAGTAAAGATAAACTCTGAATTTTTAGCAAAAACTTGGCCAAGTAGAAGACAATCTTCACTTTATAAAAAGATATTTATTAGTAAGGTTTACTTAGATAATCGACCAGAATATATTTTTGGAACTGAAAATGGTGAAAAATAATAACTATAGTACTCATTCCAAAACATTCGGTGGTGGACAAGGATTTGTGAATTTGAAGTTAATTCTCATCGAGAACCGACCTCAGTTATCTTATGGCTAAAATTATGGAGTGCTAAATTGTTTATCTATGGCTGAATCCTAATTTTCGATTTCAATCACTTTACTATATGAAGTTATAATCACCAAATTATATTGTTGTACAACTTCCTTATTCCTAGTTTTTAACTCCATAGAGTTTACTATCCGAATAGAACTTCGGGAAACAAATTAGGAAGCTAGTAGGTAAATAACACACATTATTTACCAAAACGGTTGAGTCAAGATTTTTCAGCCTTATCTAAAATTAATTTGCATTATGAATAGAAGTCAGTTGAAGCCCTAACATGAACCACAAACTTTCTGATCTGTGTGCTCAACTAGTTAAAGAATGAGCCAACATTGGAACACGATTAGAAATATACTGTAAATCAGTTGAGGCATAGAATGCTTACAATTTGATTTCGATTTAGCCATTCAATGTGATTGTGCTGTTCACTAAACCTGAAGTTTGATTTCGTGTGTTATCTATATTTTTATGGATTCATAGACTGTAATTATTAAACAGTTGATCAACAGTTATGAATTATACTTCACTGTTCTTGTGAAACGAAGTCATTAACAAAAGAATTAAGTATGGGACAGTGGAAGTTTATACATGTGACAAATGAGTCACTGCAGTTCCGAATAAGCATGGAATGCTGAAATCCAATACATATCATGAAATTTAACTTAACTACTTAACAATATTTATTCCTCCCGTTCACCCAATAATGATTAAGATGAATTAAACCTCTTTGTTTAGAAGTCCTTCAGGTCTTTACATTTCTAGAATTATTCTATTTTAATTTAAATCTCTTTAAGGTATGTCAATGTTTGAAAGATTTCGGCAGGTATGAGGATGGCAATAAAACAACAATGCCAATTTTTCAAGGAGTTCGTGGTCCAGAAGTTGAAGACCTCTTGTTAACAATTGAACAAATGTTTGAAAAACTGATGTTTAACCTATTTGAAAAACGTCAGTGTATATTGGATGTGAAGGCCACATCATGGCATGATAATTATAATCGTTTCAGGATTGGTATTAAAGATTTAGAAGTAATGATGCAAAATGCAATTAATACAGCCTTTGAAACGGTTACGACTATACAACAAGGTGTCGAAATACTGGAAGTTTTCGCTCATCTACGGAGCCGTGAGGTAATTTTTATTTTTTCAGAAGCATATTTGAACCTGATTATTGTCAAATTCTTTGACAAATGGATACTAAACTGATTGATTTTAGTTTAACTGAAATGTAACCTCTAAGTAACTATTAAAAAGGTATAGCTTTTGAATTTTGCTGGAACTTTACTGACACGAAATTTGATTTTTCATACAACTTGATCAGTTGTAGATATTAATATACTTAGTGATTACCGATTAGGAACTTGTGAATGACATACAATGTGGGATTAAATGCTTCGATAAAGTAGAATTATAAAGTAGAATTATGAAATTCGACTTGCAAATCGAAGGATATTGAATATAGCAAACTGAAATAGGCATTTTTTATAATATACCTCAGTTGATTTACATGTTAATTGATCATGTAAAACGAGAATTTCTGACGGTCTCATTACTTTACTACTTACTTTTTAATTAGTAGTAATTATGCATAATGCAGTCCGGTTTTTCTTCTTACTGACTTAAAGTTCACGTTGGTATTTGAAAAGTAGCTCTATCAAATCCCGTTTTATAAAAATACCCTAGCGGCCTACCGAAATATCTCAGGCATCATTATTCATTTTTGTTATTTTGGAAAAGAACCCACCTATTCCACTACATGGATCGTTTAGCTGAAAGACTCATGACGTATGATGTCTGAATCCCAACGAGAGTCACCATATATTTATGTACAGTGTGTGCACACTAAACTGAAAAAAACTTTTGTTTAAAAATAAAATTTTCGTTTTACATTCATTTTGACAGCAGGAGAGGGCATTTAACTTTATCCATTCTAAAAACCTTTCAATATTTACACTTAAAATTAAAAAAACACAAAAATGGACACATCATCAACCCATGTCTTATCAATATTATGGCAAGATTACAGTTTTAGCTGATTAGATGTGAAGAAAACTAGCTTCTAGATTTGGTCCTTGTACTGGATAATTACTGCTGGTTACAACCTCTGGGAAGTTCATGTTTTTGTTAATAATTGTCTAAACTGAAAATAATTTGTCAATAAGCCTTGGCATTAGTTGATGAGCAAATGTTTTTAAATTTTCTAATCTCATTTATATAAGAAAAAACTAACATTTACTATAAAGTTTCATATGGTATATCATTATTTATTACTTTAAGACTGTACGAAGAACTATTGACTATCGAACAGGTGAATTAGTTTCACGTTTTGCTGATTGTTTAAATCAAATCAAAAAAGAAATAACACAACGTATCAATACTGGCCTCCCTATACCAACTGAAGCACATTATGGTGGGCATGCCTTATATTGGAAATTTTTACGTCGTCGATTGGAGAAAGATTTACTGGTTGGTTTAATGAATGTTTTTACTACTCTTTTTTGTACAATCTATTAAAAAATCACATAAACGGCCATGTTTTCTTTCATTGAAAGTATAATATTTATACATAATGATACGTAATTGTTTTTATAAGATCTTATTCTATCTGATTAATTGTCTTAAAGTCTGAGTAGAAATATTTGATTTTTTAATTATGATTATTATTATCGGGTATATCGGGTGCAAATAGCTTAAAGGTGTTTTAAAAAAATCCATACACAAACTTTTCAACAGTCACCGACTGTAACTGAACATGGTGCAACCTGAGAAAGAAGAGCAGATAAATGATACAAAAATTCATTACTCTGATTAAAATCAATTATTTAATCGAAAAGTATTTTAATCAGCTTATACTGGAGTAGCCCAATGTTCTGAATTATTGATCTTCATATTAGGTTACATCAGTTTATCATCATTTATACATGAAAAGATTAATATAATCTATTATATAATTCAGCTGTTTACACATGCTAATGGTTTACCAAATATGAATAAGTACAAAGAAACTAGATAGATTGAATAAAAAACTGTTTTTTTGTTTTGCTTAAAGAGACTTACTACTTACAGTACATATATTTTGATGGACATTAAGAATAACCAAAACAGTGTAGATAAATGTGGATCTTGTGCAATTTAAAAATTATGCTTTTCCTTATTTGTTTTTTTTCCAGTCATTAGATCAAGCATTTTTCTTACCATTATCTGACGCTGGTATGCCAGATCTTCGTGAACAATATATACAAATATCGGCTGCATTAGATGATATAACTAAGAAAACATTTAACGAATTCCAAGTAACCATTGAACCAGTAAGTGAAATTTAATCGCAGGAAATAAAAACAGTAATACTAATCATAATAATAATACGATTTTCCATACATAAATATTCATTAAATCTTTGCTTAAAAAATTTCAACAATATGACAACTGAAATGAGCATAAACCAACACTGACAAAATCCAATCAAAATTATTATTCTCATCGAAAGTAACAAATGCCATCCATCAATTGTACAATTTAGGAAATTATTTTTTTATTCAGCATAATGAATATTTTTAAAATTACTGGCAACTTTTTGTCATAAGAAAACATCCTTCATCGGTTTATGATGGAATTAGGCTACATTGTACAAGTAGATATTTTATGCTTGCATAAGTTATTATGCATTGAAAAATGGAAGAATAATGATTTAGTCATGTGTTTAGTAGATAATGCCGACTACAGTGTATTTATCAAAATAATTTCCAATTATTTATTTATGGTTTGCATTTGCCTTGACTTGAGTTATTGTAAAACTGAGTCTACCAGTCAGGTAACAATAGTATAGAGTACATTTGTCCTAAACATTTCTGACTTATGATCTATATTGAATACTTTTAAGTTCATATAGTTCCTGTTAAAGTTTTAAAAAATTTGATATTTCTGTAACTGAGTTCAAATAAGTCGACTTTTGAAAAAGTATGATAATTTGAAAGTGGAATAACTTAAATATTTGATTTCGAATCGTGAACTGAATTTCAACGTTTAAAAATTTCAAGGTTGAGGTTCGATCGGAAGGTGATTGTGAGGCCTGCAACTGAATGAAATTATATGTTCATAACTTATTACTCTTCACACTTCTGACGTAATAATTTTACAGAATAAACGGATAATTAAAAGAATATTGGAAGGAATGCGATAAATTAGTGTATATCACCAACCTTTTCTTAAATATTATTATAACAGGGGGTTTTCTGATGGTCGGCTTTTATAATTGATTGTTATTCAGTGAAATCATGAATCGATCAATTTTAGACCACCATTAGAAACCTGGAAGCATTGGACGGCGATTTCGACCTAGTATGGGACTCAAAAACGCTACACATCCGCGACTCCGTAGGTGGGAGTCGAACTCAAAACCACTGATCTCGCTCGTAAACGCTTAACCTCCTGACTAATGACTCGGTATCCAATAGTGCGACCTCATCCACTTATCGCAGCTTCTCACTAGAATTCTCAGAATTTCCTCACGAACTTATTCATCAGTGAGCACATGATGATCCTTATAATAGGGTTGTGGAGATTGTTGAGGCCGAAGGTTCTGGGTCTGATTCACGCTTTTCGGGTTGTGGATGTGTACTACAGGTGAGTCTCATACTAGGACGATTGGGCCGTCCAGTGCTTCCAGGTTTCTGATGTTGATCTAGCACCGATTGGCTCAGGATTTCAGTGAAACTCAGCACTCATCAAAACTGTATAATGATTGGTATTCCTTGAAGCACTTTTATATTCTTTCGAAGAACATAACATCATAACATTTAGATCTTAATTGATCAGATAGTTATTGACTTACAATTTGTTTTCTTTTAATTGCCTGTAAAATTTTATCGCGTTCTTTTGATGTTAATATTTTGTACATAAAAATAAACATTTTACTGCTTAGAAAATCTAAAGTTCTGTATCGTGTTCTTGTCTTTAATTTGATATAATGTCTCATTGTTCATCGTCTATCAATGGGATTTTTTTTCATACATTTTAAAAATTGGAATTTTCCTCTCATAATTCGCGAACAAATTATTTTCAGTGAACAAGTCTCATCAGTTAGATGAATAAAAATCATTGAAACTCTTTATTACAACAGAAACATGGCCTCTTTTTTCTATAAATTGAATGAATGAATATATATTTGGTTGGTTCTGCAATCCTTTCAGTCGAAACTTCAGCCTAGACATACAATCGTTTTGAATATCATCCCTATTTCAACCTAACTAATTAACTTATCATTTATAATCCACCGAAATTTCATTCATTAAATCTGAAATTGTATTTTGGTTTGTTTTGTTTTTCATTTCAGAATCCATTAAAATGTCTTGAATTACCTTTGTTAAAACGTAGTACTTTACAACCTGGTATGCTTGAACCAAATTTCGATGGAACAACGCTGAAATTACTCAATGAATTATATTATTGGGCTAAACTGAAGTTTGAACTTCCAACAAATGCTAATGAAGCTTATCGACGACAAACAGAATTAAAATATCTCATCAATATCGTATTAGTACTTGTTCGTGATTACAATCGTATTATAAGCTCATTAAATAATGATGAACGTGCATTATTCAAAGAACGTATAAGAATGTTAGATAAAAAAATGATACCAGGTTTAACAAAATTACATTGGACTGTAAAAGATTTAGTTGAAATGTATGTGAATGATTGTCGTGTACAAGCAAATAAACTACAATCCAAAGTTGATGACTATAAATCAGCTAATGCAAATATTAAAGGGAATTGTGAAGAAATTGCACAAACTTTACTGATTAAATTACAACCAAATCATGTTTATGAAAATGCAGAATTTGATGACTGTCAAGTGAGAAATGAATTTCTTTGTTAATATAAAACTATTGACTGACATTACTTACTGACTAAGTTTTGATACACACCAATTGTTATTATGTTCAAACAATAGGCATAAAAAATAAATGAAATCATTTATATCGGATAAAATTCAGAACAGAAGTACTGCATACATATTTTAAGTAAGCTGAGATAAACAGTTCAGCTACCTTAGTCTGATAATTCCGCAGAGGTTAAAGATACAAGATGATATGTCTCAGAGTCGTTCGCACTAACTCACTCCTTTTCTTATCCTAGAACTTTAGTTTCCAAACTGTGTCATACTTTCTATTATCCAAATTAATAATTTCATCTTGAATCGTACTGTTTGTGTTCTTCATTGCCACTGAAACCTTTACTGTTTCAACTATTGTTCCACTTGCCTTGACAATTTTATATCACTGTTTTGACATGCAACGAAAATTAGAACGGATACGACGTATATGTGGCACATTCTACAATGAACATGACCCGCCAGCTATTTTTAAACCGAATTTATGAATAAGACTTGAATAATCAATATAATACTGAGAAGTACATTCTTAAATCTAATTTCTCCCTGTTTCAATTAACTGAAGATTTTATTGGTCATACTAAGACAGTTGCAAATATGGTTGTTGCTTTCAGTTAGTATCTTAGGCTATCAATATTTCACTCGGATGAATAATGTAATTTGCTACATTTTGAAAGCTTTTTGTGACCAGTCATAAATATCAAATCGAAAGCAAACGGACGTCATACGCTAAGGCTGATAAAATCTGTCTGTAAACTATAATTAATCACCTAATTATTTCCAGACTACTAACTTATTGATATTTTTTAATCATTTTTTCTTTCAACTTCATCGAGATTCATTGGATTAGCTCCCTTCAGATTTCCAATTATTTTTACTCTGATGATTGCCACTTTTTTTCATTACAATACAAATCAGAAAAAGGTATATTTCTTTTCAATTAGTTTTTCATTAAGGCTTTATACTAACTAATACGTAGACAATAAAATTAGGTAGAAAATGGAAACTAAATGGATCATGATGAGTTAATTTAACAACATAATAATTATTAGTTTCATTCAAATCATCAATCGATGTAGGTTAGACCACCACTAAAAACCTGGAAACACTGAACTACTGTTTCATCACAGAATGGTGCTTCTCAGTGGTGCGTATCCATAACTCCGCTAGCTAAATCGAACATGCCATGCGAACATTTAAAATCAAAACCGAGAGTTATATTTCGTAATCAGTTGAATATCAAAGTTCGTGAGATTTATAAAACTATATAATAACTAAGTAGGAGGTCAAGATAAATTTAGAAGCTGTTTTAACTTTTCCTAACCCTTTTTTCGATTTCTAATAAGCATACTTTTCATTTTAGTCTGAACATAGGAGAGTAACAAAAGAAAAACTTATCGCCATTCATAAAGGCATTATAAAGAAATTATGTGAAGTGAAAGAAACATTTATTTCTGAAAGTGCTGATATTCAAATGCAATGGTGGAAGTAAGTCTTTTTTATGTTATAGATAAATTAATTTCTAATCAGAATATAATATTTCATGTTAAACATTTCTGATTTAAAACAAAATTCTCAAAAAAATATTAGTTTTTATACTTATACTGAAACTTGTTGTGATAATGAAGAAAACTCTACTTCTACGCACTTTTTGCGAATTCGCCTTATTGGAAATCATTGTATCCCCTGATCCAAATATACCCATATCACTGTAATGATATTCAGTTTCGTTGAGTAATTACAATGCCCAATGATTTTGATCGCATAGCTGTGAAACGACAAACAGTTATACATTACAGTCATACTCCAACTGTTACTAATCAATCTGCGTAATTCCTACTGCTTTTGTGGTTTTCTAGTCAACCAAGTTCACATTATCATCATGTCAAGTTATAACGGGTTATTATTTCAAAAGTTTGTCAGTGATCCTTTAAAATCAATCTTGTTCCTACATCTTAATTCATTCCCCTTGCTATATTTATGACCTTCGTCTGAGTAGATTTTCTTCGGTGGTCTCCATTAATGATTTCATACCACTAAGTGGAAAATATGCATGATACTAGTCTGAAACCAGTTTAAAAAGTTAAGTTTGTTGAGCAATTTGCCTTTATTTAATTTAATAAAAATTTTCATTACTCCTACTTGTGGGGGTCGTAGATACGAAGAGCTGACGAGTCCCGTACTACGACGAAGCGGCCGTCCAGTGATTCCAGATTTATAATGATGGTCTAACATTGATCAATTTATGATTTCAACCAATAATAATTGTCAGCTGCTTATTTTCTTTTCCTCCAGATATACAGAAAAAATGGATCATTTCTGTGAAGAAGCATTCCGAATAAATGTTAAATCATCATTAGGGGAATTACAAAAAGCAATCAACGGTGATGGACGAAATGATCCTAATCCTCTGTTCAAAGTGTCGTTGAATTTAGATAACGACGTGTTAATATTTTCTCCAACGCTTGGTCAACTAACACTTGTTGTCGCTTCGCTAGGAAGTAAATTTGCAGAAGTTATTTCAGCTATTCCTCGTCTACCTGATTTGTTAACTCATACTAAATCTACAAAACCAGTAAGCTTTTTAAGTACTTTTTGACTTTTTTTGAAACTGGTTTCATCGCTCAAGCTGAGCAATATTATTAGTGACCTTGAAGTAGTTTTCCACTTTATAACTAATGAATAAACAAATAGTAACTAGACAACAATTAGATCTGAATATATACAGCATTGTACCGCAGTTTATGAATTTCTCAGAGTTTTTAATGAAATTTCTTATCTCGACACCAAAGAATTTCTAGGTAACGAATCTCCACTTTTTAAACATAAATCAGTTTTATTTTATCATTAATGAAATTACTCATCAGGTGAATGGTAATTCTGTATTTTCGAATTTCGCACTAAAGAACTAGAAATTGTTGTTTTGACAGCTTCGTAGTCAACAATGACTCTCAATTTGGTTTCATTGTCCTATGTCTGTTTTCTTACTAGTATGATTAACTTTTAGATAATGATTAGCTTTTTATAAACGATTCAATTGTTTGCATTCATATGATACTAAAGTTTCTGTGACTGTTTATTAGAATGACAATATTATGAGCTTCCAAGAGCCCTAGATAGAGCAGAATCATGTAGTTTTACTACTTTGGTGTAACCTAAATACTAACTAAGAAAATATGAAAAGAGGGTAAGGCTTAGAAGAAATATAATGAGAAGAAAAATCAAGCTGGATGACAACATCTCTTAATGAACGCATTTTAATTTGATTTTCGGTGACAATTTGCATATTTCAATATTTAGCTTTTAAAATCAAATTAATCAATTCGATTAGTACATAGATATGCTGAAAAAATTTGACTTGATTTTATCCTATATCACATTGAATTTAGTCAATAAGTGAAATTATTGCAACCGATGAAGAAATTAACAAAATACAAGCAAGTATTAAACGTGGAATGCAAGAAATCGGCACAGCAGTTCATGAACCTCTCAGTTATTGGGATCAATTTAGAGAAATATGGGAATTGCCTAAAGATGATTTTATAGAAAGATATCGTCAATTAAAACCACATGTTACTTCAATTGACGCGGATATATCTAGGTAACTTTTTTAAATTTAATTTTTGAGTACTTTCTTTGAACTCCCCTTCTTAGTTCACTATTTATGACGGCAAACTTGTCATTACATTTAAGGTTACATTTCACCAGTAAGTATTTAATGAAGCATAATTATCATTCAAACAATTATTATTTACTTCAATATACATAGAAATCTATCCCATTTGACCCAGTCTTATAATGATACTTGGGACATTATTTAATTTCAATGACTTGCGCTCACTCTTTATAGTTAGAAAATCAAAATGTGAATATCATTTAAGAGTCAGTCTTAAAATTTCGAATAAATGTTTCAACACAATATAATTCATACAAACAATGGATTATTATCGATATTTTTATACTGACCCATTTACTTTACTAGCTTATCAGTAGTTGGCTTACAAACAAGTTGTGCAATATATAGTCTCGCACAAATCACTAAACAGCTATACATTAAAGGATACATTGTTGCGTGAATACAAACCGATTGAAGTATAAGATAAAATGTCACTCTTAGTTTTCAGAGATTATATTTCTTGCAGAATTCAAGCGATGTTGTTATGAATGTTTATTCTATAATAAATCTATTTGAAATAATATAAACATTATCTGAAACTCCAAATATTGTTGTAATATACCAGACTTCAAATGCTGAAGATCCCAATTTATCGATTTGTGCCCATTGAGATGAATCGGCTTTTGATTAACTATATGCAAATCTGAATTCAACGAAATTCTCATAATTCGAAGAATGATTGAAAATTTAGTTATCACGATACATAAATTACATATAACTTATTATCATTTCAGGTATACAGAAGTAGCTAATAAAGTTTTAGATGCAGAAACTATGGTTACAACGAAATTCTTACAATTGGACTTTAGTTTGTTAAAAAATGCAATAGCTGCTCATTGTCAAGATTGGCAAATGCATTTAATCAATCTTTTACTTTCAATGACCGAGGATTCATTGAATGGAATTTATACATACATGAAAGATGTTAAAGAAAGGTGAGATTTTAATTCGAATGTTTGAAGTTTTTAATGATAATGATAATAATAACTAGAAAAAGCTATACAATTGTGTACTTTTATAAACGGTGAAGTTTTTACATTTCGCGTGACGACGAAGTTCTACAAAAATATTTACAGTGATCGCTTGCGATAACACTTTATAACTACATCAATTGGATGATAATAGATAAATGGCAAAGACTATTTTCTAGCTTTTTGGCTTTCACTGGTTGTCTAATTAAGATTAGTCAGTGAGGTAGCGGCTGTAGTTGCTACCTTGATATGACGATCGGGTTTCCCTATTGTGATGAGTTAACCGAACATCATTGGCTGGAACATATTTTCCTTTAGGTCCCACTATGCATGGTGACTCTGAGGAAAAATGCTAAGACTAAATGCATCAACGTGCAATCTGAGAGCGAATCCGTACTGCTGACTGTAGATGGGTGTGACAATAGTAAGGTGTTTTCCTACGACAACTAACATTTGTCGCGATAACACCTTCTCAGAGCGAAAAGAAAAGATTAGAAAAGGTCAACCCTGAAAATATCACACATCATCTTACCTCACGGATTGTCGTCTCCGACGATAAGGCCTTTCAAAGAGTGGATCCAACATCTTGAAATCTTCCTAAAAAATGCCGTCAATAACCGGACTCTAACAGTTGTCCCTTCGGGCTCTGTGGTCACGTTCCCAGGTCACTACGACCAACGCAGACCCAACTTCCTTTTCAGGTCCCTCAAGAAGAGATTTCACTCCATGTTGTTAGTAGCCGGGAAGTGACATCCGCCCTGATACTTCTGACAGCATACGAGACGATCTTGTTCACAATCAAATCCCTGACTTATCTCTTATTAATTATTTTATCCCCACGATTAACCCCCTTCGTATATGTATATCACCTAGCGCTACTAATCCTGATGATCTGAGTTCTTGAGTTCACGAAATTTCAGTCCTGATCCCCTGCAACAACTCTCTAACTTACATGTTCGAACTTTTAATATTCAAATCTTGAGCCAAATAGGACAACAGGCTTCTTTTAGTTGGGCTCTAGATTATTGAGTCATCATTTCGGAAACGCAGCATACAGGATCCAAGTAAATTCATTCACTTGACCTCGCCTTTTTAATATGAAGAACTTATGCTGCCCACTCATCGTGTATCTGTAGATCCCATTGCTACCTCCCGTGGCCTCGCTGGTGTAGGCATAGCATTAAGCCCGAAATTAAAACTGACTCTCCTAAACTGGATCCCAAGGGATAGTCGCTGTGCTTAGATCTACTAAACAGGTCAGTTAGAATTCGAAAAGACAAGGAAATGTGCATTGTTTCTTCATTGTCTCTGCATATGCACCCATTGGTTGCAGTTCAGATGAAGTAAAAGATTAATTGTACAGAAAGCTCTCCGACCTTATTCAAAATGGTAAGCGCTCTGATGTAGTCACAGTGTCTGGTAGTTTCAATGCCAAAGTAGGTAGACGAAACTGAACTGGAAGCTGCAACTATACCCAGATAGCCGTCAATTTCTAACAGACACTAACTTCAAGTCTAAAAAACATCTTTTGGCATGGTGACCCACATGTTCAACTTAACAATAGACTCAGCTAGACGAAATCGGCATCAAACATCGTTGGAAATGCTCTGAACACCATGGGGAGCGGCTGATAAAAAGCTTGCTCAAAAGTCATGAGAAGTAGTGGGTACTTGAAACAAGAGATATGGAAACTGCAAAAGCTACAATCAACAATAGAAAACTTATCAAAGTAATTGGTACTAAAAATCCGACTGCTGGTGGGACTATCGCGGAAAAAGATGGGACTATTATTAATTCTCAGTCCAGGAGATTAGACCTATAGGTAGGTCACTTTAAGGAACAGTTCAGCTGTCAAACAGCCACACTTCTGCTGCTCGCCATCATCAGGCAGTTCGAATGGCGAGCTGATATAAATCCTCTTACTCTCAGTGAGATTTAAAAGGTTATAGGCAATCTAAAGTAAAGGTAAGCAGCGAGGCCTAAGGCTCGGTTTTAGCAGATAGATTAACTGAGATCTTAGCTAGAATCTTTAAACTAGAAATAATCCCATCTTAATGGTCTCAGTCACTGATCATCTAACTCTACTGGAAAAGTATTAAATTTCTGTTGTGGATTAATCAATTTCACCAATGTTATTGCCAAAATATCAGCTCCAACAACTTCAATGTCTAATTAGATACTCTGCCTAAAGTCCTTCTGGGGTCACTCTTGTTCTCAACCACGGATAACGGATGAAGGTTAAACATAAGGTTACCAAACCCATTCTACAGAAAACAAAAAGTTTAATTTAAGCCATTTAAACTCTGACCTTGGAATTGAAGGGTCTTCATTCAGGAGAGCTATGACGCCCCTAGGTGAGAGCCGAGTTTCTTCAGAAATCACGAAGCAGATGTTCTTTCCAGCAGTCAGAAAAATAGTTGATAAAGGCAGAGGGAATATCCGTACAGTTTGGGTTATCAGGAGAACCATTCAAGTTACTGAATAAATGATAGGATACAAACTGGAGGTACTTCAAAAAAATGAGACCCATGGGACGCAAGCCGGACAAAAAAAGTTGCCTCAGGAAAGATGTTGTTGTAAACCAGTCATGAAGAAGAAAATACCTCTCCAACTCAAGGAATTGCACTGATCTTGTCCAAATAAGCAAGGAAAGAGATTACAGGATTGCAATTTCATGAACATAGAATCATCAAAACATCATTCGAGACAAAGAAGGAGGCGATTAAAAAGAACGTCATCAAGTGCTTCACGCCCACTGATGATATTAGAGGTGACAATAAAGAACAGTTTATTGGGAGGCTACAGTCGATCGCAGAAAAATTTCCTGAAAGGCCTTGACCACTTTGATGGGAGACCTAAACGCTAAGTATTGGATGAACAACACCAGATATGAACATATCACGGGACGATATGGACTGGGATAAAAGAATAAAGTTGATGAGAGATTCTCAAGTGCCTTCAGCAGAATAGTTATCTGATACACATTTTCACCCATTAATGCATGTACAAATCTGTATGAGTTGAACCAAACCATGATACCGTGAACCAGATCGCTCGTGCGTTTCTGTGGGTTTGTCTGTCATTTAAAGGTGTACCAAAGAGGTACATTAACCTTGTACAGTACCTCTACTCAAGCACCATTGGTCAAGTCAGAGCTTATGGTGAACTGTCATCGTAATTGATTACTTTGAGCAGTGTTAGTCAAAGTTTTCTGATTTCTTATTTTTATTCAACTTTTATGATAGAAATTCTCTTAGACTTGACATTTTGTCATCTAACTTCTTATGGGTTGACTTACAAGTGATTCACTTATTGAGCTATTTCTATATGGTTGAAAATACTGGCAAAAACGCAAAGTCTTCTGACTATCTTAACCAATATCGCCAACATGTTTTGTATGCGATTCTCCCCCTCCAAATACAAAATGTTGCTTCAGGATTGGTTCGCCTCATCGCCCGAATTTGTATTAAAAAAGTTGATTAGCTAAGCTTGTCAGTCACTTCACTTATCTTAATAGTCTCATCTATCCTGATCGCCTGATGTCTGGCGAAATATCAGCACGGATACATAAGGCTCAACTGGCTTTTGCCAACTTGCGTCACTTATGGCTCAAGAGAGATATACGTCTTCTAAACAAAGAACGAGTCTACCACGCAGCAATTTGCTCCATCCTAACAAGTGGGCGTTTAACATGACCACTAAGAATATAGAATAGTCACAGGCTACTGGTAATCGATCTCTTGTGTCTTTTAAGCGTTGTCTGTGTATTCTCGGACCATGGAGTAAGCAATACTGGTGTTAGGGAAAGGATACTGGGTAAGGATAGAAATAGATTGATAAAGAAGTAAATCTCTACCAATTGAGGTGGTTAAGATATGTGTTACATTTGCCCAACCACCGTCCACATTGACGAGAGTTATTGTCAGGTTTGCGAGTGGACTGGAAAATAGCTGTGGACGGCCAAACGAAAATATGGAACCAGTCCATAAAGTCGTTGACAATTTGATTGAGCCATGTTGCTACGTGGTTGGGGTCCGTGAGATTCTGGAATCTGGCCCGGCAAATTCATTTTTGCGTGCTGATGGTATACGACAACCTGAACCGATATACGTAAGTACCAAGTTCTCTGTTGTATCTGACTGACTGACTGACTGACTGAATTCGAGATATAACTTATGAAATTCAGCAATCCATATAAACTTCCCACTGCGATTTTAATATTAAATAATGTTCACTTATTTTCAATAGAATACTTCAACCACCTAAGAATTTACATGAACTCCGTGATTCTATGCAATTACTGGAACAAATATTATCTGAACAAAATGAGATCGAAGCGAAATTTGGACCGTTAGAAGAACAATTTGCTATTTTAGATAAGTGTGAAGTGACTTATTCGGAGGAAGTAGCAAGTCGTAGAGCAAATTTGTCTAATGATTGGGTACAGTTTCAAAATTCATTAGCTTTAGCTGAAGAGGTAAGGCATCAGATTTACTGTTATACAGAATACGTGTATGTTCATTATTAGTGTCTCCTACCATTCTATGGTGAAAACAATTCATCATCCCAGTAAATAAGTTAAATTAATGGGCACAGTTTAATTCGTGTGGCTCACTAAGTCACACAAATATTCACACCACCGTAATAATTTTTTTGATTACTAACTTAGTTTATCAATGTATTCATGTTTTATAAAACTACCTGAAGGAATAGACGATTTTAGACAGATCGAATGAACTTATGCATATTTCCCATTGTGATTTAATAGTCTGTTTCATTTCGATCTCCTCACAGCTTCACTCTGAAGTTCTAAATTAAACTTAAAGTAGTTGAATGATAGATAAGTTAGCCAATGTCGGTTAAGAGAGCGACTTAGAAATCAGTGTTTTACTAGATGATTGCTTGATTACTATTCTCCTTTATTGTTTAGCTTCTTCCTACAGGCCTAAAAAGTTCATAAATATTGCCAGTTATTAATGATCGTCAAAATCTTCACTGTTGTTGAACACTTGTTATCAGTTACCATTATCGTTTCAAGTTCTTCAGCCTTCTCTAAAATCAGTACAAAGCTCCAGACTTATTGTAGGGTATTTTTGTGGTATTTATTTGTTCCAATAAATAGAAGGTTTAGAAGTTACAATAGTTATGAGAACAGAAATGTATGAACAACTTTTCTCCCGGCACAAATATTCATCTGTTCAGATAGCCATAACCGTCGACTATTAAGACAGTGAGAATTATGATTGACTGAGAACAGTAAAGAACTGTATAACTCCTCCATTTATCACATTTGCAGAAGACGTTTATTTAAACTTAAAAAAAACTTTTACTTTTTAAAAATTATCAATTTCTGAAAGTCAATTTGTTTTTCTATCTTCAATGCAATAGATGATTAAAAAGTCCAAAGATCAATTCAAAATTGGTTTGTTGAATGATACAGAAGAGTTTAAACGTGTGATATCAGAGCTCCTACGTGAACTACAAACGAAAGGGCCATTTGCAGCCAGTCTGAAACCTCAAGAGGCGCTTGACATTGTCAACCAGTTCCTCAAACAATTAGATAATCTTAAAAGTTATGAATTAGAACTACGTGATGGATTAAATTTATTCAAAATTGAACAACCACCTTTCAAAGAAATCGCGATCATAGAAAAGGTATTATTTATCACTACAATGAATAATTATGAATACTATTTTAGCTTTGAATTATTGATTTGATTACTCTACTTTAAACAATGACTGCAGTAGTGCAAATTAGCTCATAATTTCAGAATAATGAAACGAGAACCAATTATTAGTTCAGAACTTACAAACTCTTGGAACAGTCTATATCACTACATATAGTAGTCAATTACTGTATCATCTTTAGTGGGAATGAACCAGATAGTGTTAACATTTGACTGTTAGTCATGTTGCCACATTATTATTAAAACATAATATTTTTAAAAATAACAACTAGTGATACTGTGAAGAGCAAAGACTTAGGCAATCCAGGAATAGATGTGATGTCAAAAAGTACACACTACATTTATTAAAATATTAAAACAATACATTAAATGTACATTTTGTACATCTCCATTCGCTAAACTAAGAATTTCGAAACTTTATATCTTATGTCCCTAACTTGCATATTCAACACGAAATTAAGTAGTGTTATAGTATGATAGTTTATGCATTTTATAATAAAAAGCCTAATTCAACCTTTTAACAGTTTTGCTGAATGTCTTAAATCATTAGTAAGATAATAATCAAGCAGTAACACTGAGGTTTTATGTGATATTTTTTTATGTAAACAATTATACGTTATTGCAGCTAGCTCTTTTAATCACAATTGTATATTGCAATTTTCAAATACACTCACATTTATTTTCACTTTAAGGATTTGGACACATTGAATAGTATTTGGACTACAAATCTGGAATGGGAAAATAATTGGGAAAGTTGGAAGACTGGACGATTTTATGGTCTACAAACAGCTGACATGGATGACATAGCTAATGCAATCTATCGTAAATTTGTCAAGTGGGAACGTGATTTGAAAGTAAGTTAGACTTATGATATTGATATAGTACAAGGAATTTTTCAGTATATATAGTACATAGCTATGACCATACTGATGTTATCATTTATCGTATATATATATATATATATATATATTCATATCGAATGTCAAATGGATGATCACATTCAGGAAACTGACCATATTATTATTAGAATAAAAAAACATGAAATACAAGTTACACGTTCAGTATCGTGTGAAGGAACCAGATGCATAACAAAAAAAATCCAAATTACGTTTTCATCATCATTTTCAGAATTTGATAACTTGTTTATTCCATACATTTTAGCATAGCTTATGAAACGTTGGAAAAGCACTTATATTTGCTTGGTGGTTAAAGTCACTTCCATATTACCCTTCAAGGAATAAGACTCGATTAGTCTTAAGGATTAGATATTAGTTATCAATCAGTGATCAGTGTAAACTGTATGTTGTTATCCAACAAAATGATCCCCGTCTCATAATTTTAAATTATTATTATGTTTACAAAAAGCATTAAACGGTTTTGAAAATTTACTAGGATAGGATGCTTAGTTTTGTTAAAACCTTTGGATAGTTTGAGAGTGATTTAAATAATGCCATAATCGAGTTTTAGTTACTAATTATCCTAGAATAAGAATAAAACAGACAAAATAGTTGAGCTTGACTGAAAACAGATTAGTTCTCTACTGGGAATGCAACAACACAGATGTCTGTTAGTTACGCAGTAAAAATTTAAGTGATAATAATGTGACAACTTGTTCTAAAAGTTCCAACTTTTCCACCATTCATCCCGCTATAATAATATTTCAGACAATAATAAATTCAACGTAGAAAGAGAAGCGGATTGGCGATTTTGAAGTAAATTTTCACTACAATAAAAGTAATCAGTATTATCTTATTCTTTTTAAAAATTCTATTTTCTTTTGTTATTTCTTTGTTTTAAAAATAAAAAAAACAGGATAAAAATTGGGAAATTATTGAAGCTAGTAAAAAACGAGTTGATCAATTCCGTCGTACATTACCACTGATCACAGATTTACGTAATTCAGCTATGCGTACAAGACATTGGGATATGATCAAGGAAGAAATGAATACACAATTCAATGTGGATTCTGATGAATTCACATTAGAACGTATAGTCGAATTAGGATTTGAACAATATTCTGATTTAATCAGTGAAATATCTGGTGCAGCAACTAAAGAATTAGCTATTGAACGAACTCTGGATACAATGGAACGTTTCTGGCAAAATAATGAACTTGATATGATATCGTATAAAGATAAAAATATTTATAAAATCAGATCTACAGATGAAATATTTGAAGCATTAGACGATAATCAAGTATGTGTTTATATTAATTATTATGAAAGATTTTATGAAATGTTTGTTTTTTGTCAGTGTTCTTTTGGCTTAAGTGTATTTCACTGTATGATCTGAAAAAGTGTCTAGTTAATTTAGACTTTGCATGTTTTTATTTTTTTTCAAAATTTAAATAAACATGACTATGATGATGATTAAGCTGAACTCGAATATAGGGCTAAACGTCTAAAAGGTTAACATGACTATGACAGGAAAAAAACTATACGCATAAAATCTATTTGAAATGTTCATTTAAATCGAAATAACCAACAATAATTATGGAACACATTGTATCACAAGAGTTGACTTGAAATAAAAATCGAAGATCAATGAAGTCCATCAGAAGAGTGATCTGGAACAGCCAACGCGCAAGACTTGAAAACCTGGGCTTTGGTTCTGTATAAATCTGTATTTGTGCACGGTTTAGAAGTTCACAATTGGAAAGAAGCAGTTGACTAGTTGTTCTTGATATTTACTAGTTATCTGGATGATCGATACTCGTAAGGAAACCAGTTTCAGGTTGTTTAAAATTTCCATTGGTTCATTCTTATGAATTTAAATTTGTCTTACCCTTTTTTTAGAAATTTTTATAAATAATATTCACTCATTAACATGGATTGATTGAAGTTAGACATTAAAACCGTTGGATTTCGGCACAGTGATTTCAAGGTTAAGAGTTGACACACGAGATCAGGGGCTCTGGGTCTGATTCCTGTGTGCGGTAGTCATGGATGCGCACTGCTTATGTGCTCCATACTAGGAGGAAACGAACGTCTAGTGCTTCCAGGTTTCCGATGGTAGCCTAAGATTGATCAGTTCATGATTTTAATTATAAATAAGACTAAAAAATAAGTAACTTTTGGCATGGTTGCGACTACCGTAAAACTAACCATATCAAAGAGCACTATTCATTGAATTAAAATGTACAATTAATCTTTAAAGTAGTAATAAGTGAATTTCACGACTTTGATTAATAATATTATGACTAAACATAAATGCTGTTGAAAACGCCTCAAGTTATGGTTTACGTTCCTTGAAGTTTAGGCAAGTTTTACTTGTTTTTTCAATTTGATCTTCCTAACAATTTTTCTGTACCAGTTAATTTTCCCCAACGTCACCATTAAGAAATTTAGACGAACAGACTGCATTTGTAAATCTGGCAAATATATATATGTATATCCGATAAAATACTTTTGTGATTTGTTTCATCGGCAGGTTGTATTCGTCATAAGCTAACCTTATTTGTGGTGTCATTGGAAATGATGGAGCACTAGGCACCTGTTTCATCCTAGGTATAGGCTTATCCACAGATCTGTGTGTACCTAACGGTTCCGTGTTGCTCATCGAACGCTCGAAGTTCTTCATGACGTTCATGCGATTTTAATCAGATTTTAGGACTGGTGGAGATTAGATAAGTCGCAAGTGAAACAGTTATCATCAGTGATATCGAATAATATTCGCACTATGTAACAACTTGAGTGATAGTAGAATTGTACCATTACACGACAATATAAGGGTTATACTTGCTAGTTGTTCTTCATATGAATATATGTTTTCAATAGTATTCTAAATGAGTTAAATCCGTAACGAATAAAACATACAAATTTTACTTTAACCGGTTCTTGGAAAAAACCTGATCTTTGAGCTCTCATAGCTGTAACAAAACCCAACGTAGAATAAAATGATTGTCCAGTGTTATATGGTTTTATTTCATCAAAATGCATGGTATGATGTAGTAAGGTTTTTCAAGAAAATCACTTCTTTTTCCACTTTATTTATTCGTTTATATTTAGGTCCAATTGTCAACAATGAAAGCATCACGATTTGTGAAACCATTTGAACATCTTGTTGATAATTGGGAACGTGTACTTTCATTAATCACAGAAACTGTTGAAACTCTGTTAACTGTACAAAGACAATATATGTATGTAGAAACTATATTTCTTGGTGAAGATATACGTAAACAATTGCCAAAAGAATCTGTATCGTTTGATAGGATCAATGTACAATGGAAATCGATTACAGCTTATTTGTATGAAACACGCAATACAAGAACATGTGCATGTAAACCAGGTTAGAATTTCAAAATACTTAGCCGATAATTTAACTAATTCTGAATAGCAAATGCACTATGTTGCATAACAGCATGTGTACTGTGTTATCACATTTACAAATCTGATATTTGACCAACTTTTATACAGTTCAAGTAGATTTATCCTTTACTGAATTTAATGTAGTAAAATAAATTTGTTTAAAAAATGTATCAGCTTAAAAGTGGATATTCAAGATAGATAGATAGATATTATTAACATAGAGCCTGACAAAACTATGCATTAACCTAAGTTGCTTGATATTTTATTAGTACGACGAGATGGTTTGAACAAACATGATCAGAATACATCACCGTGGTAATTATGACTTGACATGAGAAAATGCAAATGGATTAAGGAAAAGAATTATGGATTTTCTAGAATTAAGAGAAAGATAAATAGTGAATGCACCTAATCCATTGTGAACGATTCCGATTCATTTTATCTAAAACAGTGTTCCTTCACAAAACTATTAGTTATGAATCTGCGAAGTTATCACTTGTGATTAAGGTATCCTAAATAACATTTTATTGACTGTGTATTTGTATCGACATATAACTACTTAAATTTCGATCACTGTGATTACTTCAAATATCATTTTTATTAAGAATATCTTTTATCGACTAGGCGTCTAATTTCTGTCAAACTGCTGTCCGTTCAATTATTGAATAATATGTGTATTAGGTAAGAAAAGCAGCTATAAAGAGAATGGCATTTGCACTTTATTTCACTATTACTGAATGGGAATTTTATACAATTTTTAACAGAGAATAGAAAAGATGTGGGGAGAGAGAGATGACCACTGCTCATAAAACGAATGATTAATCTCTAATACAGTATTCACTTCGATGAGGTCCATGGAAGTGTTACTCTTGATTTTCAGATGATATTTGAAAATAACGCAAAACAATAACTGTATCCAGTAAAATACTGGCACTACATATAAATATATATATATACTACTCAGTGATTTTAATAATAACTTATCAATCAAAATGTTTAGTTTATGACATTGATAAAATATTTAATTTTTAAGAATCTGATGGATTATTGTGACAGCTTATTGGTTTAATGTTAAGTGTCAACAAAATTAATCATTGTTACGTTTATATTATAATCAATCATACACCGTTATCGAGTCCATGTGAAAATTCAACTAAAATGAAGACTATAACTTTTAATAATGAAATATATCATAATTTCCTTAAGAAGATTAGGAAATTGCCAATTCCCAATAGATTTCTCATCATTTGATAAAGCTAAGAATTTGTTTATATTAGCAATAATTTACGTTTGTATAATAATAATTTTGAATATTCGCAATCGAGTGAGGGACAGTAGATGTGTTCACTGTACATCATCAGTCGAAAATGTATAGTTCGGTTTGTGGATATCATTTATATTATCGAATCACTGAAATACTAATGCAGTTCACTGGAACTAGGATTCAATGTTTCATACTTTCAAATAGTTGAATATCTTAATAATGTGTTGTTGAACTTGATCAATTTAATGAAATGATATGTAAGCCAATTTAGTTTTGTTGAGAACGCTTGTCACTTTATACAAACTTTATAAACTAGGCCTTTAATAATTCTTAACTTAATGGACGTCAAAACGATTGTGAGAGGACTTTGCAGGCTTGGTATGGAACTGTCACCCTATGGACAATTTACTTTTTATGTATAATCAATATATTTCGAATTACTGATCCTATGTATTATTGGTATGTTCGTGACAGGATTCACTCGAAACGAGCCTTTACATTTTGGTTGAACTAATGAATTTAGATAAGATGTGATTATTTTTGAATGGTCATTTTCCAGTGGGTGACCAGTTAATTCGTTTCTAGTCATTATTTCTTAATGGAAATTTCTTATTGATTTTAAATAATTTAAGAAACACAAATTGCCCTAACCCTAACATAAAGGCTGTCAGTAGATGATGTTTGACCATCATTCTTCCGGATTCTTTAACTTTATGAATGATTATTGCTGATGTTCGCTTAAATTTCCGGCCAACTTTCAATTTCTGAATATTTGTTCATCTTATCACTCTCTGGTGATGTTTCGTTCCATGAGCTGGATGTTTTGGTTATGGAGTTTTCATTGTTCTTCTTCAGCACAAACTTCAAATAGAAGTGAACCATTTGAATTTCTGCACGTTTGACCTGCAGCTTGTTCTTCTTACCTCAATCTCGACTGGTTGCTGTTGACCTTAAACCTCTCGTTGTTTGCACCTTTGTTTTGATTGTATCCTCCTTTTGATCTGTTTCTTGTTCCTATATCACCTATGATTTTTCTGATTGGTTAATAAATTGTGTCAATGTCGATGTGTTTTTTGGTTGCTGATTGACCTCAGTGCTCCACAACCAAAACATCCAGCTCAGAGAACGAAACACCACCACAGTCATCCACCTGAGCTACAAATTTTCTCCACCGTCTTATCATTCCTATCTTAATTTACTTATTTTCATTTTATTTATCAATTGCGTAACTCACATCCTTGTTTCCGATTCATCAACAGTTCTCTTAAATGTTATCACATCTATAGAAATGCAATCAAGTGTATTTGAAGTTTCATCGAGCACTTTTATTAGCTGGTGAACTGGTGAGAAGATCAAATTAAACTTATTTTCATTTTTTTTCAAAAATTTGCCTTTCTCAATGAGTGAAGCTGTATCACTAAACAGTGAAACGTCAGTAAAAACTATCTTTTGTCTTTCCGCCGCTCATTAGCAATTTCGAATTTCTAATAATAATAATAATAATAATAATAATAAACATTTACACACTGTTCAAATTTTTACAAACTGTTTACTTTGAACCTGATTTGGAAATATGTAGATGAATAAAAACAACCGTCATGCTCGTTTTAACCATAATTTTGCTCCTATTCTCACTCAGTCTGATTAAACGAACAGTTTGAATAATAGTCTCAATAAGTAAAATAACTTTTTTCCATGGACTTGCTACTTAATTCCAATTTGAATTTCCTCAACAATAATTAACTGGTATCACATAAAAATATCATAAACATTGAATTATGCATTTCAATATTACTGTTCTTCTTTCACAGGTTTATTGGATCAAATTAATAAAATTGTACAAAGTTTAGAGGAAATACAACAATCATTAGATATGTATTTAGAAACAAAACGTCAAATATTCCCTCGATTCTATTTCATATCAAATGATGATTTACTCGAGATATTAGGACAAGGTAGAAATCCAGAAGCTATTATGCAACATTTGAAAAAATGTTTCGATAATATTACTCTTTTGAGATTAGAAAAGGTAAGTGAAAGGAAAACTGACCACAGTATTATTTGATTCACACAGTATTAATTGGTTGTATATCATATGAATGGCAAGACGTGATCAACTGATGTTCATTAAATCTCCTATCTAACAATTGTTTTTTCTTCGTGTCACAACATGATGCAGTATTGTAAACTACTTATGCGGAATTACTAGCGATATAGAATAAAACCATGTCAAGGTAGCTAATTTCTTGTGACTCGTTTGGTGTGCACAAATAACTCATGAAGATATAGTCAGCACAATAATAGAATTCAGTGGAGACGTTTTTATAAGTTGATTTACGAAAATCATGACTACAAACTTGATGAATGAAAATATTTAAGAACTTGAGAAAAATCATGTTAGTCAATGGATAGCTAAGTTGAAAATAAATAAACAAGGATGGCAATTAGGTTAAATTTTTGTAGGTGTTTTTAAGTTTTGGTTTATTGATCATAGTTTCCAGCTTGTCATGAGCACATTGAAAAATGTTAAAATGATGAAGAAACAGCTAGTCAGTTGGTAGTTTTCATACTCACGTGGACGAACCTTGGACGGGTTTCAATAAAACGATGAGTAAAATTAATAATCAAGTTCTTATTTCAACTCATTTATGTAACGTGTTTACCAAATCGACAGTATGAATTATTGATATTGGCAGAGAAAAGTTAATATCGTACAGTATCTGATATCAAACATAAAGATTTCACCTAGGAATATTCTTACAGTTCTATATTAGAATTGTTTATAAGAATACAAATCTGCTTTATCAGTCAATTTCTTAACCTTTTATTTTTACTTCTATTCAGACAAATGTTTCGACATATGATGCATTGTCAATGTTTTCATTGGATGGTGAAGAAGTACCATTCAAAAATAAAGTACGCCTTGATGGTCCTGTAGAATCATGGTTAGGTGATGTTGAGGATCAGATGTATAAAACATTAAAAGACATGTTAAGAGAATGTAGATTTGCTTTAAAGAAAACTGCAAATAAACGCGATAAATTTATTAAAGAATGGCCAGGACAGTTATGTATTACATCAAGTCAAATTCAATGGACAGCTGATGTCACCAGAGCATTACATTTGGTAAGAAATGATGTCATCATTGTATTTATTAGAACTATTTTGACTGGTTTTTAGTAAAGTCTAATCCACAAATGTCAGTGGACATCGATCAGTTGGTTATTAGAATCCTTTTTCTCCCGAATACACAATATTATTTACCAATAATTGTGACAGTATATAAGTATAACGTTACATAACTACTTGATGAGTATTAAGTCATTAACATTATTGAGTTGTGAAAATTGTGATAGTGTTTCGTTCTTCTGAGCTGCAAATTTTCTTCACTATTTCAAGCTGTGAAGATTGTTAAGTTTGATTGAAATCATGAATCGATCAATGTTAGACCACCATCAGGAACCTGAAAGCACTGGAAGTTCGCTTCGCCCTAGTACGGGATCCATTAGTAGTGTACATCCGCGATCCCTGCTAGTCGGTATAGAACCCAGAACCGTCCGTCTCGCAAACGAGCGCTTAACCTTTAAACCACTGAACAGGCATTTAACGGAGTTTATGTCCTAACTCTGTTATAAATCATATATATTAGTGTAAGACCATAATGAAAACTGAATGGAAGCGAATTTCTTCCTTCTGTTTGTTCCTTTAATAAATAGATTCTATTAATTGGACAGATCCTAACTGCAGATATTTTTCAAGTATTAATATGGGCTTCAAAAAAACTCTGTAGTACGCGTATGAATGTGTACCTGTAGTATGGAGCAAATATCATCTTTAAAACTTCCCTTTGATTTTTAAATGAAAGGATATAACGTTATGATACATGAACTATTTAAGTCAATAACCAATAACTTTTGGATTTTTGGTTTCTCTGTTTCACAAAAACCAACTAGAATTCTCGACCGCGTATGAGATTTCGCAATTTTTGATCTGATTACCGTTATGATCAGATTTGTTCAAAGAAATAATTATCAAGTTTACCGTATGTACACATACAATATTCACAGCTCTCTTATATATTAATAATCTACAAGGAAGAAATTATTATCTCATAAAGAATTCCCAATCATCATATGCCGTAAATAACATCATCGTTAGCGTGTCACAAGTTCCTGATAGTAAATTTAGAATTTCATCATTCATAATAAGCTCTGAATAATATTTAAACATTATATATGGAGTGCTTTACACGAAAAGTTTACATTTGAAAAAGTTATCCATAATATATACTATGAACGATTGAAAATTCTAGCAAGTTCATCCATATCAGTTGTAAAAGCTGGCGATCTAAGCTTAACATTTGAAATTAACCTTAATTATTGAAATGAAAAATTAAAATTTTCCCAAACTACTTGTTTAACATGCTTAGTGACGAAGCAATGAACCAAATTTAGTTTTACTGTACGATTATACAAGAGTTTAAATCAACAGCAACTGACACTAAATCGGTTCAGTATAACCCTACTCTACAATAATGAAAGCAAGCACTAATAGTGACAATTAGGGTTTCATAGATCATAAGGTTCAAAAAATTTTTAGACTAATTCCTGGGAATCCATTGAACATATCAAAATATTGAGCTCAATTATTCATAATAAATACCATAAAAATTTTGGGAAGCAAAAGCATAAAGTAAGTGAAATTTAGAAAAGAAACTACATGAAGCGTAAAAGTACCTATAGACATTGGTCAAAACTTTAACAAGCCCTTTACCATTTGTGTTCGGATAACGTAATTTACTTATTAAATATCGTACATTTAGTACATTTAATGTTTATAAACATTGAGATTACTGTTCAAATGATGGTTATAACAATCGTTACAATAATCTGATCAATTTTAGTCAATTCATATACCTATTTTGCATACCTTACTTATACCTACTTGAGAAATAATACCAAATTTTCTGATTTGATCACTGTGACCTTGACCTTCAAAGTCTGAATTCCAGTTACTTTGATGACTCATCTTTTTATTTCTAAGGCTATTATCGTCATTGTTATGATGTAAACTCTAGGAATTTCACTCATTTTATATTTGTACCTTATTATTCAGATGAATATGTTACTGGACTTGAGATCAGTTATAGTAGGAAAAGAATTGAACCTGTTCCTGTTTTGATATCATAGCTCCGATATTTCAATCCTGATGCGTTTATTGTTGGAGGATACGAAGCGATGCTTGTTTAGACAAAGTATTGATCACTATGATATTGAAAGGGTGGTTTTAGTTACTCATACAGATTATCGCTTAAGATCATTATTATTTTTATGTAATTTTTTGTTCCCCAATCAGTTCTTCAGAAACACTCACAATATCCTCCATTATATAATTACACTGTACATTAAGCTTTTGAGATAGTTGGCATTACGACAACAATTGTCCACTTAAGAAACGCAAATATAATGCGCGTCAATATAAGTTGGACACAAAGGTGAATTTTGAAAGTAACCTTAAAAATAGACAGTTCGATTTCCAGCGGACATTGATTAGTACAACACATGTAAGCGAACAATACTGTCTACAAATAGATCATCATCAGGATTTATTCTAATATACATGAATGATAGTATGAAAATGTCAAGCCCATCAAGGTAATTTATGGGTCTATAATCATAATGAAATAGCTTACGTCACCACCCATAATAGGTAAAAGTACAAGTGAACACTAAAAGGACAGGTGTACTGATAGTAGTAAGAATCATAAAATACTATCACAAAAATTTTTGTCAATCATTCAACTTTGGAAATAGTAGGTCAAATGTGGATAAATAAATAATCATCACAAAACATCATGACACTTACGTAATAAACAGTTTCATAGTAAAGAATTGATTATGCAATCCTCTCATTTAGATAAGTTTAAGGATTATTTGGACATGATAATGAATCCCTTTAATCCAGTGATTCAGGTAATAACTAAGTAACCAACTATTTTTTTCCTCATCATATTCAGGTAATATTAATTGTAAATTATTTTGAAGGCTAAGATACTGATTATCCGCTGAAGACTATTATCCCGTTAACGTTTACCCAAGATCTTACTAAATTCCTCGTAAATGGATCGTTGAAAATTAGTGCTTTTAGCTGTAATTTTTGATCTGCTTTTGAGTTCATTCAAAAAATTCATGTGTTTTCTTAAACATTAATTTAACAGTTTGCATGTCTTTTGAGAGATCCAATGCTCTATTTACAATATCCTATAAAATAACGTTATCAGTCTACCAATAAAGATGTCTTCTTCGTTTGTTAAACACGACGTAATCAATTTAGTCTTTGAATGTTTATGTTGATGAGTATGGTTGCGACTTTACACTGAAGTTCATAATAATGAATATATTCTTAAAAATTATTTTGTTTGTATCATAAACAGGTAGCGATGAGACAAGACAAAAGACCATTGAAATCATTAAAGCACAAACAAAAGAATCTTTTAGAGAAATTTTCAGAAATAATACGTTCAAATCTAACAAAAATACAACGTTTGAAAATTAATGCTTTAGCTGTTATTGAAGTTCATCAACGTGACATTATTGAGAAACTTTACAAACTAGGTTGTAATGATGTGAATGCTTTTGATTGGTTGAGTCAACTTCGATTTTATTGGGAAAAAGTAGGTTGAAATCAAGTTTTGAGTTTTAACTACATAAATTGTAAAACCATTGTGTTGAATGTTCAATGAAATTACCGTAGATATTTAAAGCAATTAGTCACTTTGATAAATTTGGGTAGTACGTAATGCGATTACCAGAACTCAGTGATATATTGGTGCAGCAGATTTCGAACAATCTTATCATATATATATAGCCAAGGCTTGGTCACACGAAAGTTTATGCCCCCCTTAATGTATTCAATAACAATTTGTTCTCACCTTAAACCTACCTTAGTAATATCGTGTAGTGAGTTTCATACTGCTTTTCACATTGACCTTGCACTCCATTTTTCCAGTTGACCTTTTACTTCCTCTGTTTAATTGTGTGGTCAAATTGTTCGACAAATTTAGCAGAATGTTAACTAACTCTGTTTGTTTTTTCGTTCATTGTAATAATATGATCTTTATATTGCTTCCTGAGCTGTTATGCTCCTAGACTAGTCATATTCGATTTACAATTATTGTATCTGTTTGTCGATCGTTGGAAAAAGCTGTTAAACTGCACTATTAAAGACACATGTTACCTAAGCATCAGCTTTTTCGCGGATTGTTGAAAAGTGTGGAATTCCAAACATCTTAATATGAAAATGCAGCAACCGAAAGATTAATAATTGTCTTTGAAATTTCAAAAGACAATTCCCTAACAACCTGATTTAATGAAAGCCGGGTTATGATAACTACCGGGTCTCAATAAAACCAGTCATTCGTGTATTGATCACTCAGACGTTCAAAAGTTTCGGATATAACTATGAGATATATTTAGTATTTAGGTTACTTAATAGACCTAATTTAACATTACAGATTGTTCCAGTGCTCTATAACTTTCAATAATTAGCCAGGCACTGTCAGTGTAACAAAACTGCTGGAATCACACATTCGATTTATTTTAAACTGAAATCCAGAATGAACAACTTCAAATTTAATAGAGAGTAATAGAATATATGCTTTCATATTTGGTTTCTACCATTTATCTCACCCATATGTCAGTCAAAAATGAAATTGACCTGGGAGTTTCGCCTCAATATCTGTGTTGTCACTTTTGTCAAGAAATTTCATTCTGTTACGAGCCATACGATGTGAATTTGAATGTTGCGATCTTTATGATGCCAATCATTGATAATAGTTCTCTCTATTTAAATTTATTGAGGGGTCAGGTTGTGTGAAATAGTAATAAAAACTATAAATTGGTTCTGAATTTGAGAAGTTACTATTTTCATGGATCCGAAATTAATCTCTCCTTTTGACATTTGGAAGTACGTTTTCGAATTGTTCGAAGCGTGGAAGGAATAGAGGTTATGTCTAAGGCTTAAATCGAACAAATTTCGTATTGATTCCCATGAAAAATACACACATTCTCTCTTATTGTAGTTGTCAAGCGATCAACCATGACAAGAAAATCGATACATTTCTTCATGTCCCATCAGAACCTCAGAGGACGGAACGAACAGTTTAATTATTTAAGCATATGAATCATACGATCACAAAAAGTTAGGTACAATATCAAAATCAATCACTAATGACAAAACAATAGATACAAAACTAGTGGAGTAGCAGATATCTTGTCATCCACATAAAATTGTCTAACTTAGAGTCAGTACTTAATGAAAACGAAGGGTCAGTCAGTCAGCCAACAACTACATAGAACTTCGTAAGTACATAATGTTAAAACAGCTTTTAAAAATAGTGCACCAACTGACACGACATAGTGGTAACTAGTTTTATTCAAAAACAAACAACCCAACACATTGAACATTAGTAATATAATATCAAATGGATAGATGCTACAAATGATAAAAATAACAGTCTCCTACTTAACTGATAATTTATTCATGCGAAAGTCATTCAAATAATATGAGACTGATGAGATTACCTATGCTTTTTTTAATTCATCGGACAAGATTGACACTTTTTATTTACTTTATACTTACAACTTCAATATATTAGTTCATTTTAACATCGTTTTTAATCACTAGTTAATATCATATTAAAAAAAATATTATGAATTATTCAACAATTAGTAGTATATGGTAAATTCCAAATTATAGACAGTTTACTTACTGTGTAAATGTTAATTTTGTTATTTTTTTTTGGAATAGGCAGCAGATGATTGTTTCGTTCGACAAACAATTACATCTTTTCGATATGGTTATGAATATTTAGGCAATTCTGGCCGATTGGTTATTACACCACTTACTGATCGTTGTTACATAACACTGACTACTGCGTTATATTTACACAGAGGTGGTTCACCGAAAGGACCTGCTGGAACTGGTAAAACAGAGACAACGAAAGATTTAGGCAAATCACTTGGTGATTATGTAATTGTTGTAAATTGTTCAGAAGGTTTAGATTACAAATCAATGGGTCGTATGTTTGCAGGTTTAGCTCAAACTGGTGCATGGGGATGTTTCGATGAATTTAATCGGTGAGTTGATACCATAATCTATCAATATTTAATACATTAAAAGCTGCAGTTTGATAAACTGATATTAAACACGACACGCGCTTACGTTTCGATTACGTTAGATTGATAATGGCAACTTGATACACAGGACTAAATAACGTTGATGTAGTCACTGTATTACGTCACATTTTTACAACTTTATGCGAAATCTCATCTCAATAAAAGATCAGCTATAAAGATTCGAGCCGACATCTCTTGCATCTATGATCAAACGAAGTTTGTGTTTTCTTTACTATTTTTTTCCAACTATGGAGAACTTGGTAAGCCGTTCTGCGGATTTTCACACCGATTTATCCCGAACTGTTCATAAATGTTCTTTACTAATCGTATACTCAGTCTAATTTAAGGACTATCATCTTAGCTAATTTCTTTCACTCATAATCTACGGTCTATTTTACATAATGAAATGCTTGTTTATTTCATTATACCGTCTTGCCTGTCCTTATCACTGTCTTCATGATATTCAAGTTTCTGATAATTACAAGTCAACTAATGAATGCACTTCGTTATAAACGCTTTTAACTCCCAAATCATTTTCATTCCTTTAATGTTTTGCATACAAGTCTATACATACAGATGTATATTAAATCCTCAGGTGAAATTTTCAGCACTGTTCACAGTACTCTCATATATCATGTGCTCACTGGAAATTAATTTGAGGAAGAGTACACGGAATTTTGGTAAGTAGCCTTGATGACTTGAGAGAGACCATGTCGGCTACATGACAGATATCAATGAGGCCAAAATATTATAATCGCCTATTATTGTGAACCGAGTGAAATGTAACTGTTATCTATCAAACTCCAGCTTAATAGTCTAAAGATAAGGTATTTTTTCCATGGTGCTTGAAGATCCTAAGGTAGATATACGGTTAATTTTAGGGTGTACAATAAAGAAGGGTCACATAATATGCAGAAAATCTGTTCATTATTGCCTGATTTTTAATGTTTGTTTAAGTATAGCCATTCTATGATGTACATTTATTTGTTTAAGTATGAAGACGCTTAATGGTCATTCTGAATTATTTTTATTTTTGCTAACGTTAAAAACGTACCTAATTATATCGTTCATCCTTTAATTTATTCTAACAGTATAAATATTGAAGTATTATCTGTTGTGGCTCAACAAATATTATCAATACTTTCTGCACTGGCATTGGCTGATAAATCAGGCGATCAAGATACTAAAACAAGATTTATGTTTGAAGGTCGAATGATTAAATTAGTATGGTCATGTGGTATATTTATTACAATGAATCCTGGTTATGCTGGACGTACAGAATTACCAGATAATTTAAAATCTATGTTTAGACCAATTGCAATGGTAGTGCCAGATTCATCAATGATAGCAGAAATTACATTATTTGCTGAAGGTTTTGGTTCTACAAAGGTAGTGTGCTACTACGATAAGGTGTAAAGTTTTTAGAAGTATTAATTTTGAATATCTTCCTTTTTCTGTTCAGTATATCTTCGATGCAGTTGGAAAATTGAGGATGATAAACTAGTTAAATTATTCGCTTTCTAAACTTTCTATTTCACAATAACCTATTTTCTTATGAACATTGAAAATCCGTAACTTATAAAAAGTTATACTTCTTGTATCGACGATTCAACCAACAGAACCTAACCACTCAGCTCAGAAAACGAAACTTCACCATAAGGTTATTGCAGAATATGGGACACTCATTGCTGACTATGTTCAAATACTTTTCAATAATAGCTGAATTTAATTACATTAATTTGGTTAAACAATTATCGCCATTCTTTAGTATAATTCAGTTTGCTAACGTATTTACAATCATATATGTTTGAACAGTTTGCTCATGCACTTTATATTGATATAAAAATACCATTAAGATGAAAGTTCTTGAATGCAAAACTTACTCATTTAATTAGTATCAATACTGATCCAAGCCCACCAAAATTATTTAGATTAAACACTCAGAAACATATGTATTATACTACTGGTGCTTGAATGGAACTCACCACTCCACATCAACTTCATTGACTGCGTGAAAGTATTTGATATCATGGACAGGACAACACTATGGAGGCTTTTTCAACACACTACGGCGTGCTTGAGAAGACAGTCGACATCATATGGAATTCTGATGATGGATTAAACTGCAAAATCGTGCATGGAGGACAGCTCACAGTTTCGTTCGAAGTGAAGACTGTTGTCAGGCAAGGTTGCTTACTCTTAGCTGGACGATCTGGACTTCGTAGATGATCTAGCTGTTCTATCGCGCGCTCAACAACAAATGCAAAAGAAAACTACCAGTGTAGCTGCAGTCTAAACAACAATATGTCTCAACATACACAAACGGAAAAGCAAGATTCTCCGATACAACACAACATGCATGAACCATATCACACTTGGAGGAGAAGCTTTGGAAGATGTGACAGCCTTTGCATAGATTGGCAGCATCACCGATGAGCAAGTTGGATCTGATGCAGATGTGAAGGTGCGGGTCGGCAAGGCAAGGGTTACTTTTCTACAATTGAAAAACATCTGAAACTCAAAACAACTATCGCCCAACACCAAAGTCACAATTGGGCACATTCCATTTTTGTAAGACTGTTTAGAGACAGCGATTAGGTCATTTTTCTGATTGCCTTAATGCTGGGTTTAGATTTCCAACGGATTTTGTTTACCAATTAGTATCATTTGTTTAATATATAGTCTTACTGAATTCAAAGTATAAATCCAAATTTCTTTACAAACTAATATTAGCGATCCAGGTTTTGGAAATTGAGAAAACTCTAAGAGCCAATTTTAGTATCCTAACTTCCTTGCCATATCCTGCGTGTGGCCGTCGGCACAAAACAGCTATTCACTGGCATTGTTTAGTGGTTCTTTGAAAAATAAGTAAGTTCTTGATAACTCTTAATTAGTCATATCACGTTAGCCTTCAACGCTGTATTGCTGGTTAATTACCGTTTGTTGGTTATCTTGTTGCATGTTCTAGAGGTTCTAAATGAAACCCTATATGCATTATTGTTACTTCTTTCAATATAAAGGTTACGGTATCAAAACTGTCTTTTATTCTTCCCCATTGAAATATGGGGTTGTATTAAGGTTGATTTACTAGTATTATATAGCATGAACAACTAGGAGGCAAGAATAAAATAGGGAAATTTAATTCCAGTTTGGGAGTTAGTCTTAAACATAGGTTAATACTTTCCCAGACTTACTAGCTCAATGATTGATGAATCAGTGTCTCACAGTGAATCACAGCGATGACGTTCATGGGCATCCACTGTTAGCCATAAACCAGATCTAATATGAGGTTATTGTATGAGTGATAAGTTTTATTTGTTTTTATTCTAGTAACTAGTAATACTATTTATTTCTTTTATAGATTTTAGCTAAGAAAGTATTTACATTGTATAGTTTAACTGTCCAACAATTGAGTAAACAAGATCATTATGATTTTGGTCTACGTGCATTAGTATCTGTACTACGTTATGCTGGCAAAAAGAAACGTGCAAATCCGAATATGTCAGATGAAGAATTATTATTATTATCGTTGAATGATATGAATCTGGCTAAGCTTACTTCAGTGGATTTACCATTATTTGAAGGTATTATTACTGATTTATTCCCAAGTGTTGAACCACCACCAATGGATTATTCAAAGGTACATTGTCGTACAGAAATGTATTAAAATTCCTTAAAAAAAACCTTAGAATTATTAGAATCCCATTTACTGACTTCAGTTAAGCTGGACATTATTTCTTATCGCACTAAATTTACTGATATTCTCTAAATACGACATTCGTAATGAAGTAGAAACACAAGACAACAAACACATGAACGTATATTAGTGCATGACCAACTAGTATCTTGAGTGTGACAAAATCTTCTCTGAATAGTATAATATGTTTTTAAGAATAATCGTTATACATACCAATATTTTGCATTCCATTCTAAAAAGCTTCACCGATTTCTCATAAGCTCCTCATAAAGAAAGAACAAAAAATAATTTTCCTCCATGAATTTTTATTTTCTCGGAATCACTCAGTGCATTTACTTTATCATTGCATCAGTCAAACTTAAAAGACTATGTTAGTGAAATCTGTGACTAGATTAATATTAAATCAGAATCTACTTTGTTTATAGACGTCATTATTATTCTGAAGGTTACAACGTTAGAGAAAGGCACTTTGGGGGTTATCTTTCTTCTTGTCGAGCTAAACTTCTGAAATCATCACAGTCATTAACCTCGAAAACAATCGTCTTAGCTTTAAATATGTTCTGAGATTATGTAAACACATGATAAATCTTAGTAGTTTCATATAGATGAATGATAATTATAATGTTAAATCATTTTTTGTAGATCAAAAATGCTCTGCAACAAGAATGTACTAAAGCCAACCTATGTATGACACCGTTTACACTTACCAAAGTTATACAACTTTATGAAACGAAAAGTTCAAGACACTCAGTTATGATCGTTGGTAAAACATTGTCAGGGAAATCAATAACATGGCGCCTACTTAAAGCAGTTCACAATTCATTGGCAAAAGTACCTAATTCTGACTTCGAAATGGTTACAGAATATTCATTAAATCCTAAAGCTTTATCTTTAGGCGAATTATATGGTGAATTTAATTTATCAACAAATGAATGGACAGACGGTGTACTTTCAAGTATTATGCGTCAAACTTGTTCAGGTAAGCTGTTATTATTTTATCTATGTTAGAAGAATGCCTTTTTTGTAACTGAATGAAAAAAGCTATTGAAATTCAGACAAATTCTATTTCACGTATCTTTTTTTTATAAACTGAAAGTTGGCAATACTATTCTTTCTCTGTTATTACAATATCAAGAAAGTGGAATTGTTTTCATCTTCATATTCCATTATAAACTGGATATTTTTATGCATGCAGGTTTGCTGCATGTAGTTAACTATTACATGTGATGAAACTGTCGTCAACATACCTCGAATAATACATTATTTCATCGATTGCTCCTTTAAGGTAGGTTCTCTCAAAATTAACAATGAAAATAGCTACAAAGACGAAGCCTAACAAACTTTCCGTTGTTACACCATCAGTTTGACGGTAAATTACGTTATTGCACTGGAACTGGACATTTTTTGTACACACAGTTGGCAGTCGCTTAAGTTCTGGTGCTGGTAGAGGTATGATGCAGAGGTAACATCTTTCTGTGACTGAATGATGGGAATAATAATACAAAAAAGAGTGTAAGTTCCTCTACGACTTTAGATCTGCCTCACTGGCTAGTGCTAACTAGTACTATCTGGACGAAGGACTTCTTGTTGATTGCTCTTAAGCACTTATCTCTATTTAACAATAATGCCAATTAACTATAACGAATTTAATTTATCATAGTTATGTCTATAATACTTTGTTTGAAGGCTTACTTCAAAATATTCAGTAATCAAAAAATAATTAAAGTCGATTCATAAGCCGAATAACAAACAGATTCTATCGCTTATCAATATATACGAACAAATTGCAATTGATAATCCGTAAAAATTTGCTTATCTCACAGAAATTTATAAAATTATTTAATCATTACAGATGGGTCGCCAACATTAAAATGGATAATATTCGATGGGCCAGTTGACACTTTATGGATTGAAAGCATGAACAGTGTTATGGATGACAATAAAATTTTAACATTGATCAATGGAGAAAGAATTTCACTGCCAGAACAGGTAAGTCATAATTTATTTGTCCTCATTTTAGCTATATGCCTCATTGATACTAAACTTTCTGAATTTAACTTTGAATCAAACACTATTGGTGACAATTATCTGTAAAACATATTTATGGAGGTGGCGAAAATTAAAGTCCTAACTTCGCATTCAGGTCCTGAATAATTTCCTATGGGAACAAGACTAATAAAAGATAAGATGGCAATGTTTGACTTACAAAATCATCTGATGGGTTATAGCAATAAAACTGAATGACCCAAGTCTTACATCTATGGCCTCATAAGTAATGGCCTTACAACACACATCTTGAGGTTATTTATGACTGAATTCATATTGACCATGCCTATTTTAAGTAAATTATTTTGTATCGTTCTTGTGTCATTTAAGATGACTCACTTTTGTTGACCTGTTTTTCAGTATTTTGATATCTACTTATTGCAGCATTTTACAACTAACCGTAATTCGGCCGCAGAATCATCACTAGTTAAGGTGATTGACATAAAAAACCACAGCTATCACACAAATCTAAGTTGCTCATTTAGAAATATCATACTAAATAGATGTCATGTGGTTATTATCAAACAGTCACACTTGGACAAAAATTACTTGGATGATCAGACTTCATTCAAGTCATTACCCTTGCTAGGGTTTCTGTGATTTAATGTTCAAGGTCGGAATTGTTTGTCCAAGAAGCATGAGTCGAGTATATCTCATTACGGGGTTGTGAAGATTGTCAAGTTACACATTTTGAAACCATGAATCGATCAATGTTAGACCACCATTAGAAACCTGGAAGCACTGGACAGCCGTTTCGTCCTAGCATGGGACTCATCAGCAGTGCGCATCCACGACTCCTGCACCCCGCAGGATTCGAACCTTGGACCTTCGGTGTTGTGCGCGATCGCTCAGTGGTCCAGAGGTTAGGCGTTAACGAATATGCTGGTTTAGTATAAACATCGGAAATGTCTTTCCGGTGTTATTTCAATAGTCTTCCTAAAGTGTTTCCCTGTTTTACTATTAGGTGTACGTTTCTTTTTTATCGGTGAAAACAGTTCATTCACAAGAGCATATTTTTTACTAACAATCAATTAAAGTTACATTGTGATCGAATTCGAACTTCTTTGAATAGACTGTTGTTCTGTCTTTATAAAAACTCCTTGTTTACCACAAACTAACTTACTGCGTGTTGTGCTGAAGAACTTACGGAATTATATTTTTGTCTTATTGATCCACATGATAGTGCAGAACAGCAACGTCATTAAAACACAAATTTCTTTGTATCCTAATGATGACAACAGAAAGCTGTTTGCGTTATTGCTTTCTGTGTCCGATTTTCATTTTATTCGATTCATTTAGTATCATTTTGAACGTATTGTAACTGTATCATAGTTCATACTACAAAGTTATCTAATATTCTAATTCAGTATTGGAATAACTAGCTTTCATCTTGACTAAAGCTTACTGAGGAAAAAAACATTATTACTTTGGTGTGAATTATTATGTTCTATACCTTATCTAATGTTGGTTCTCATACCGAATGTCTATTACTTTATGATATTTCTATGGTCGTGGTATTTAAATTTTTTTATTTCATTTGTTGAACGAAATTGTTTGAATTAAAATGGTGAGGTTGTTGAATTTTACCTAACATACTGGACACATTCTTAGAATTACATAATAAATTTTAATCGATCGTTTTATTCATCTTACTCAGAATTTAATCAGTTATTTGCATCCATAGGGAACACATTCTTCTGTACACGGGGATACAATTTTACACTCAGAAAAATCTAATTTCCTGAGATAGTCTTTTACTCTGAGATCATCATCAGCATCATCCTTAACCTGCATATAATAGGTGTGACTAAAAAACAACGAATACTAAGATTTGTGTATGATTATCGATCTGAATGCACTTTTTTAGTCTATAATTAACTTTATCCTGTTTCTGCTGTTTGTTTGTTTTTATTATACCTAGGTGTCATTACTTTTTGAAGTGGAAGATCTAGCTGTAGCATCACCAGCAACTGTATCACGTTGTGGTATGGTTTACAATGATGTAAATGATTTAGGCTGGTGGCCGTGTGTTGAATCATGGTTGTCTAAAAAGACAAATAATGTATTAGTTGAAGAGACAAGACGTTTCTTCACTAAATACATTAAAAATTTATATGAGTATATCAGATTAAATTGCAATGTTACCATTCCAATGAGTTTAACGAATACAATTATATCGTTATGTAAATTATATGATGGTTTAGCAGTTCCTGAAATGTGGGTAAGTACTAAATCGAAACAATAGTATATTGTGTGTGTGATGAGAAAAATGTTTCTCTTTGTGGAAATCTTCAGTGGGTTTTAAGAAAAATACCTGATTGCAAAATTCCTATAAGAATTTTAACTTGACAGTTGAATTTCATCTAAAAATTATGAAGCGAAAAGATGATATTGATCTGATAGTATAACGATATTACTTAAACTGAAGGGCATGAGAATATGAGGCTGATTTTTGTTGAAATTTTGAAATTATTTTGATTATTTACAGCATGGACCTGCAGATTTCACAACGGTTATTCATGATGGTTTTCAAGCACTTCATTAAAGCCAAATTAATTAGTACACTAGAACCACATTACTTCATGAATCTTGAGCGACGACCAAGCACTTTTTGGGTGTAAAGATAAAACTGAAAAGCTACACAAAGTACGAGGTAAAATTCCAAATAGGAATCAAATCATATGAGCCTTTTAAAATCCCCATACTTTCCGTTCCTATTCCGGGTCGATTATGGGATTGAGATCTGAACTAGTGGTGTCTATAATTAAAGCCAGGATATTTACCAAATCAGAAATCAGTTCAAGCTACTCGTCAGTTACTTATTTCACACTGATCATCTAACAATCTTTTACTATTTCTTACTTCAGAGTCAGTCAGAGTCAGATGCAACGTAGAACTTTGTACATAAGTACATCAGTTCATGTTGCCATACCACATCAGCACAGAGAAGTAATCGTCAATTCAAATCCAATAGTAGAAGAGGTAGTAAGGGAATTAGAAATAATCGGAGAGGTTAGGATTAGAAGATATTATTCAAGAAGTATGATTCAGTGAGATAAGTTTAGAGAGTCGAAACTAGAGGTGTTGAAGAATCCAAAAGATTAGCATTTGAGAGAACACAAAGAATAAATGCACCGGCGCCATTGCGAACGATTTTGAGCCATGTCATTCAAGGTCTCTAACCATCGATTATTATCATCTCGCGGACCCCAACCAGGTAGTCGACAATTACCAACATGGCTCAGTCCACTAGTCAATGACTTCATGGATTTCTGCCATGTTTTGGTTTGGCCGCCTCTAACTTTCTTCCAACCTATTCCTACACTACAAAACAAGGCTCGACGAGGCAGCCGGTGGTTGGGCATACGCAACACATGTCCCAACCACCTCAACTGGTGAAGTTTCAATACTTCGTCGATTGATCTGCCATTCTTACCTAGCACCCGATTCCTAATAACAGCGTTGCTCACTCGGTTGTCCCACGATATACGAGCAATGCTTCGAAGACACCTATGATCGAAAACCATTAACCTACGAATATCTTCTACTCTCACTGGCCATGTTTCACAGCCATAAAGTAAGACGGAGCGAACTACTGCGCAGTACACTCGTCCTTTAGTCAGCAAACGGATATCTCGCCTATGCCATAAGTGACGCAGGTTGGCAAAAGCCAATCGAGCCTTCTGTATCCGTGCTGAGATTTCGTCAGTCACCAGGCCATCGGCACTGATGAGACTCCCAAGATAAGTGAAGCGGTCTACACGCTCGACTACTTCACTCCCTATCATTAGTTCAGGTGCCGATGCAACCCAGTCTTGAAGCAACATTTTGCATTTCGAGGGGGAAAACCGCATCCCGAACATGCTTGCATTGTTGCTTAGGGTAGTCAGAAGACTCTGCATTTTGTCAGCGTCTTCACCAAGTAGGACAATGTCATCGGCATATTCTAAGTCAATCAGCGAGCCACCTGGTAGAAGTTCTACTCCTGAAAATTCAGACGAGGATAATGTTATGTCTAGGAGCATGTCTATGATAAAATTAAACAAGAATGGAGAAAGTGGACATCCCTGACGGACACCACTTGATGTAGAGAATTCCGTTGACAGTTCGCCATAAGCCCTCACTCGACCAGTGGTGTTCGAGTAAAGAGCTTGTATAAGGTTAATGTACTTCTGTGGTACACCTTTCAATGACAGACACTGCCACAGAACCTTACGATCCACTGAGTCAAATGCCGCCTTAAGGTCCAGGAAAACAACTATTGTAGGACGCCTAAATGTGTGTCTATGTTCCAGGACCTGTCTGAGTGTGAAGACGTGGTCTATACAACCACGTCCAGGTCGAAAACCAGCCTGGTTTTCTCGAGTCTGCTCTTCACGAGCTTTCGTTAAGCGTCGAAGTATTATTGAGGCCAAAATTTTAGATACTATATTAGTTAGACTTATTCCCCTGTGATTGTCACAAGAAGACTTTTGTCCTTTCTTATAGATTGGGACAATCAAGGATTGAGACCAGTCGGATGGGATTACATCCAGTTCCCAGATTCTACCTAAGATCTCAGTCAACCTAGCTGCTAAAACTGGACCACCATCCTTGAATATCTCAGGGGTCAGTCTATCAGGACCTGCAGCTCGTCCTCGTTTCAGATTTCCTAACGCTTTCTCAACGTCATCAAGACTAGGGGGACTTAGGTCGATTTGCCATTCAGGATGACTGGAGATCGTGGGTAACCGAAGAGTGGCTCGTGGCCAGTTGAACTGATCCCTAAAGTGTTCTGCCCATCGATCCAGTCTCCTGGATTGAGAATGGATAATAAGACCATCCTTTTCTGAGATAGTCTCACTCACATTCGGGTTCTTAATACCAGTTTCTTTAATAAGGCGGAAAAGTTGTCTACTGTTGCCGATCGCCGCTGCCTTTTCCATCGCTTTTGCTTTCGCCACCCACCACTGTTCGCGGTCGTTACGCAGACTTTTTATAAGTCTACGCCTAAGCTGACTACGCTCTTCATCATGCTCAGAGTCAGGTGGGATGCGTTTTCGAGCATCCATCAGTTCGGTGGATGCGACTGATATCCACGGCTTCATCCTAGCCTTATGGTTTACCTTACTAGCAGATATCACTGCTGTTTCCACAGCCTTTTTGATATCATACCAACCCGCTTCTGGATGGGAATCACTTACATCGTTGCATAACTCTCTTTCTAGTTCCTCCTGAAATATTTTCTTGGTTTGATTATCATTAAGTAACACCCTGAGAGGCTTTCTTAGGGTGTCTTTCCTACGCCCAGTAAGCCTTAAACAGATACGAGCTCGCACTAGAGCATGATCTGAATCCAAACATGTGCCCCAGAACGAGCGACAGTCCTCTATCGAACCCCTCCATCGGTGGCTGATGGCGATGTGATCTAGTTGAGTCCAACGTTGAGACGACTTTGGAGGTCGCCAGGTCAGCAGATGCTTTTCCTTATGCCTAAAGTTGGTGTTCGCTAAGAATAGGCGGTTATCTGAGCATAGTTGCAACAGACGGTCTCCATTGTCTGTTCTCTCAGTCGCTACACCATAACATCCACCTAGGTGTCTTTCCTTTTCACCTAGTCTACCTACCTGAGCATTAAAGTCACCAGCCATTATTACTATATCAGAGCGCCTAGCTTTTTGGAGGAGGTCCGAAAGCTTTCTGTAAAACTCATCTTTAACCTCGTCTGCACTGCAGTCAGTGGGGGCATAGGCAGATATGACGAAGAGGCAACGGCGAGTGTCCCTATCTTTCCGAGTCCTTACTGTCCCGTTTAGTCGGACAGCGCACAAACGACTATCTACTGGGATCCAGTCTAGGAGAGATAATTCTGCCCTAGGACTCAACGCTATGCCTACCCCAGCAAGACCCCTGGAAGCAGCATCAGGGCTACCGGATACACGAAGAGTAAATCGAGCTGCTTCTACGTTTTGACAAGGTGAAATCAGGTTAATGACTTTACTAGGATCCTGTATGCGCGTTTCCGAGACGCAGCATACATCGATGGCACGAGATTCTAAAGTCCTAGCTAATGATGCCTGTTGCCCTATTTGACACAATGTCCGTACATTAAAAGCTCCAATATGTAGTCTAGAACGGGGTTTCAAGAGACCAGGAACGTTTCGTGATCTCACTTCGTCTGCATTAGCGGTGCAGTGAGAAAAGGGAGTGTGAGTAGAGTTAGTCGTAGAGATAAGAGAGACATTAGGGGGTGTAGGAAGGATTTGATTTTGACCAATTTGGTCTCGCGTGCTGGTACGGGTATGAGGGCGGTTGTCACTTCCCGGCTGCCCACACCGTGGAAGGTTGTTTCTTGAGGGACCTGAAAAGGAAGATGGATTAGTGTTGGTGCGTGACCGCAGAGTCCAAGGGACAACTGCTTGAGGCCGGTCACGCACGGCCTTTTTATGAAAGGTATTTTGAGGATTAGCTCCGTTCTTAAAGGCCCTTAGTGGGCACCCTTACCCAGGGAGACGGAAATCCGTGAGTTAGGGGGAGTGTGACATTTTTAGGGCCGACCTTTTCTAACCCTTCCTTCCTTGTGAGAAGGCAGCATCGCTGCAGATGCTGGTTGTCCGAGGGAAACACCTTACTGCTGTCACACCCCTCTGCAGTCAGCAGTACGACTTCGCCCTCAGACCTTGGGTAGCTGCTTTTAGTCTCATCGTTCTCCAATCGACCTGCCTGGCATGGTAGGACCTGCAGGAACATATGTTCCAGCCAGTATAGCTCGGTTGGGTCATCACGATAGGCAAGCCCGACCACCACGTCAAGGTAGCAGCTTCGGTCGATTTCTTACTTAATCAAGCTAAATATTAATCCAGAATTTTATTCGAATTAGAACAAAGAAAAAATGGACCCATTTATTGAAACTAGTCTAAAATAGCTATCTGACGGCTTGCGATCTGAAACATTCAATAGATATTACTGTCAATTCAGCTAAATCTCTATCTGTGACGTGATTGATTTGTATTCGACTTACTGTTGAGGATAGTCGTTCGTAATTAGTAGTCTTATTGATACTGAATTTAACGTATATGCAGACTATTAGTCATCTTTTACAATAACCGTTTCAGAATATGTAGACGAAACCCATATGAGTCCTTTGTGTTGTGTTGGGGGCGTCAGATCCCCAGAGCTCACTTGCAAAAGGTCCCAATTTTGGATATTTTACGTTTTCGCTCATTAGTTGTTTAGTTGACCTTCAGCTTACATTTCCCACTCGGAAAATCCTTGACTGTTATTGGTTGATGTATTATTTTTATGGCTCTTCCAAGGACGCTTGTATCATGTATATATAAGCTTAATCTGTGTGATTGTCGACCTCGTATTTTCTGGGTGCTTGTGGAATAGACTTTCTACGCCTTATCAAGACTTCTTGATATAGTTAGCAGGGCGTGGGACAGAATAGCCTACCGTGTCACTGCATCATTTGTATTCGCTCTCGTTTACCGAATAGGGTGAACTCGTAATAGTTTCAAGCTTATCAATTGACGAGCATATCAGTTGTCACATTATTAATATTCCTAATAATACAGCAATACAGAGATGACAGTCGCTGAACTAAATTACTAAGATTAACAACCCATACAAATGAATTAATCTTCACCTTACAAGCTTAGTAAATAATGCGATTGACTTTGAAGTGAACGATCTGACTCCAAGCCCCAGAGTGGTCATCAACTCGAGGATACAAACTTATCTGGCTGTGTGTTACGAATAGGATGAAACGCACGTCCCGGATTCCACAGTTAACCACAATTCATCTATGCTCATGATGCTTGTGACTTAATGGCAATATCGTGGCAATCTGCAATACGATAAGACGTACTGATCAATTGTAGTCATAAACATCAGTGAGCAGATCCAAATAACCACTACAAATAAATTGGAGATGTTTATCGTTGTCTTTCAACCTCTGAATAAAATCACTTGACAATACCACTAATCATAATTCAGACTTATGACTTGGTTTCTCCTGCTGGATAATTTAAACGTCCAACCAACAATGGTTAACTTGACTCAACTACCAGGTCCTTATTATTCCATGATTCTGTAGTTCCTTCCTCCACTTTAACCTCGAGTTCAGAAGTCAGTGATTATCCTGAACTATAATTATTATATTTCTAACGGACAGCCAGACTAGATAGCATCGCATCACAAAATGAAAAAATGACAACTATAAATGGTGAACTAAAAGCGTACGTGGCTAGGGTAGACTAAATAACAGATGCAACAATACAGAAACAACAAACCTTATGATATTAGTTATAAGTTAATCGAAAGCTTATGGTGAAAATATATACATATATAAATAGATCGTAGTTACTTAGTAATGATGCAGAAATTATGGTGCGGTTTCTACAGCAACATCATCCATCTAAGCTACACATTTTTTCCACCATCTCAAAATTATGCAGTAAGACAATATACAATATTAATAATCCATGAGTTAGTTCTGAGAGTTACCATCCGTTTATTCTTCGTTCTGATATAAGATTCACCTTTCAGTAAATGAACATGGATCAGTTTTTGTTATTTACACCAATTGAAAATTCACAAAATGAAAACTGTTTCGCATTAGTTACTATCTAAATGAACATTCTGAAGCTCTGATGTTTAATCATAAACCCCTTGATGTAAATCTATATTGGTAACTACTGATTCAAGCCTATGAGTTTGATAGTCATTTCATCTTAACTAAAAATCAATAATACGAGATGCTTTACTTAGTGATATAAGAAAATACATCACATTTATTTAATATCGCTTACATCATTTGAACTTATATTGCTGTCCGATATCTTTTAGGCAGATCCAAGCGATGAAGACTCTTATCCACGTTTATTAGAAATGACATTTCAATTTTGTATGATATGGTCTGTTGCATGTTTAGTCGATGAAGATGGTCGTAAAAAAGTTGACGGATATATTCGTGAAATTGAAGGAAGTTTTCCGAATAAAGATTCAGTCTATGAATACTATGTAGATCCTAAATCAAAATCATGGGTCCATTGGGAAGAGAAATTAAATACGGGTTGGAAATATTCACCAAAGTATTTTAATTTGTATTTTTTCATGTTGTTGTTGTTGTTGTTGATTTTATGTGGTCCTATGTGATTAGCTAATGAATTGATTACTTAGAATTTTTTTCTTCCCGAAGAATTTCTAACAAGCATACTTAGATTTTTATGTAAATTTCTAGGCATGAAAAACCTTATTATGACATAGTGGTTAATAGCATCCATAGATTACTTGGTAAACTGTCAGGACTCTACATATTGCTTTAATTCTAACGGTTTGGATTGTAAAAGTGTTGATATTTTGACTGACCGGTCTTAGTTTCATAATTACTCTGCCTAAATTGACCGAAATTCAGTCAAAATATGAACAACAAGACAATTCAAACCAATAAAAATTGAAATTGAAATTCATACCGGTTACGCAAGTGAGTTGCCGTTTAAACTCAGTGGCTAAATGAATAACTCGTTGGAGTTTGAAGCAAGTGGTACTAGTTTAGTGAAGGAGAACACAGATGAGGGCAACCGAATTGTATTTATCTCAAATTACAGAGTTAATTGGTAAAATAGGAAAACCATATCGTAAATCGTTAATTTGCGAAATATCAGTCGATCATATCGAATTTGACTGTTCCTGTTGCAAACATCAATCCATTGTCTGACATTTCATTGTTCATGCGTTTCATACAAATCCCATTGTGTTCCCGCTCTTCCTTTCTTGATTTTCCCCCATCTTCTGCTACCAGACATTACGTTTTTGCTCGCGTCATATACTACTTATAAGTAGCGCGCACCACACTAGTATTCGAGTCCAGAAATGAACATCGACTCTGGGATGCCGTTAGATCCATGCAGACATCTAATATGAAGTTTATTTGACTAAGAGGAGGAATTCAGAACATGTTGTGACAAGTAGATCATTTGATCGATTGTGAAAGAAAACATTAGCCTTAGATTGGAATGCCGATATATATCACATAAATGTAAGCATAGCACGATCTTTTCCTATCAGTACATCATGAAGATCATTGTATTATTTGTGGTAATTTTATTTCAAAATAAACTTTATTTGTTTTCTTAGTGGTATTATATTTTCACTGTCGTTATGATTCGAGATACGGTTTGATAAAAATTTAAACTTGATGCGCTGGGTAATGAGTAGTAATTCAGATATGTTTGACATAAGACTAGCTTAAGTAAAGTTTAGTAAGTTCTATAGTACACAAAATCGACCAGTTTATACACTTTATAAATACACCTAACATTATTTACTCATAGGTTTATTAGTAATGGTACCTTTTACCAATAGGTTGTTCAAGCGCTTGGAATCTAACTGCATTAGGTATTTCTTAGTTAAGGGATTTAACAAATGGTTCTTCTAATTTGCTTTCATTTACCTATGCAGTACTCATGTATATCTGTAAAAATAAGATATTTCGGAGATTTATTCGTCTGTGATTAGAAACTTATTTTAGTATATTATATGTATACTTTCAGTCAGCGTTGGGGCAATCGGAAATCTTTAGATCTAGTCGAACAGGCGGTAAATTCCATTTCTTTTATCTAAGACATAGATCAATGTGGTTAAGCATAATGTGACAAACAGGGAAGATAAATTGTCCATTTTTAAAAAACTTTTTAGAATAATTGACTGTGAAATTAATTTTATTGAAACAGTGACTTTCAGGATCCTCTAACGTGATTATCCTATTCTTAATTTTATCAACCCAATGCCTGTTTAGAAGTCTTGCTTCAACGTTATTCGGATTTCTCAAATTGTTAACTACTGTTTAATAGCTTACGACATCAGTGTTTTTAGTTCTTCATATCTTAAGATTCATAACCGTTAATTCCAGTCACTTGGTTTTTATCATCTGGACCAGTGTTGTAGGCAAGAAAAAAAGTAGAATGAATACAATCTTATCCTATTTCGGTTATTATTTTTCACCCAATCGAATTAAAAATTATTGATTTGAATTTCTGGATAAGTAGTTTGACCCTGAGATGCAAAAAATTCACTTTTAAGTATGCTGTTCATTCGTTTACAATTTTCTGTACTGATAATAAAAAACCAACAACATTCTTTAATTATCTTTTTTTATTTTGTACTTTTAGTACACCATTTCATAAGATACTTGTACCAACTGTAGATACAGTTCGGTATAATTTTCTACTGGATTGTACAGTTAAACAAAAATATCCTGCTTTACTAGTTGGTGCTGTTGGAACTGGAAAAACGTCATTAGCTTTGAATTTATTGAGGAACTTAGATCCAACAAAATGGGTTAATCTAACAATTAATATGTCTTCTCAGGTTAGTGGAAATTTCATTTAATATTATGAATAAGATTTCTGTTATTGAATTAATTAGTTTGTTGACTCTCATATTTGTATTTTAAATGTTGCGTAACTAGATTAGGAATATATTCATTCAGTGAACATCTTAATAATTGTTAGTAGCGTTTGACCGTAGATGCTACATTGACTTCGTGGCCAAGCTTGCCTATTGTGATCACCCAACCGAGTTATATTGGCTGGAACATATGTTCCTGTAGGTTCTGCCATGCCAGGCAGGTCGATTGGAGAACGATTAGACTAGAAGCAGCTACACAAGGTCTGAGTGCGAAGTCGTACTGCTGACTGTAGAGAGGTGTGATAGCAGTAAGGTGTTTCCCTCGGACAACTAGCATCTCCAGTGATGCTACCTTTCCACAACGAAGGAAGGTTTATAAAAGGTTGACCCCAAAAAATGTCACACCTCGCCTTGCCTCACGAATTTCCGTCTCCGGCAGTAAGGCCTTTTAAACAAGAACGGAGCTAACACCTCAAAAACTTCTCATAAA